ACCTTATGTAGGAGTAGACTTTGTAGCTGATTTCTCTTTGTCCTCACAGTTGAGTTGAAAGATAGATTGTACTCTTATTTAATCATCTTTTGTATTTTTTTTTGGTTTTCCAGTCTTTATTTTTCCCATATGGCATCACTAGAAGATTCAGAGTCACTGTGCCAGTGCCTCTCTTGAAGAGATTCTGAAAAGACACAAAAACAATTAGCAGTAGTATAGTGACTTGTGAGCAAAACATCCAGAAGTTTTCTTATTTTGAACAATGTTGTCGAACCGCAAATGTCAGATGGGAAAGCAAGGTTACTATCTCACCATGACTGTCACTCAGATTTTGTGGAAGTCCATATTTGTATTTGTCTTCAATATTTGAGATTCCATGTTGACATCTATATCTAACACTAATTCTCAATATCATGAAAGGAGAATCAATGAAGCATCAATAGGATCCTTGCAACCATTTCTATTATAGATCACAATTGGAACTTCCTCCCATGGGGAGGACCACAAAAATCATTGCATTCTCCTGCACAGGAAGCTCATTAGGATTGGCTGTCCCTCAAATGAGAGGATATGAGGATCACATATTATTTTTTTGCACTGTTGCAGAGCAAAACTTTTATATGTTTTATCCATCACCATAAATTAGAGCATCATTAAAGGGTAGCAAGTCTTTATAATATCATATCAGCAGTTGTTTTTGATATTCATCCATATACATACTTGAACACAAATTTCTTAACAAAAGCAGGCCACAGGTTCACCCTCTCAATGATCACAAAGATTACAATGCATCACAATGCACTAATAGTGCCTCCAATTTATTGTGATTTATTGTCTTATTTCTTCACAGGCTTGAAACATTCTCTAAATTTTTAACCAATCTTAACCAATCTTGGAAATTGGATATAACAGTAAATATGATATTACAGTACAGTCGAAAGATCATATGATACTCAATCAGATTCCTGTGGTGTTGACCCTTGAATTTCAATGGCCTTGACAAGCTTAGTAGACAAATGATGAGATAGTGGACAATTGCATCTAAAGGTACTCACTCGATCTAAGGGAAGAACATGAATGCAGTCGCACGGAATCCCTGGGATGCGAACAGGAGTCTTCACCATGTGACAAACAATTGCCTCTGGCCTTATCAAGGTAAATCTTTCCTCATATTGGTTGTAGCATAAGTGGCCACTAACTACAGGATATTGACAATATGGATCAAGGAGTAAATCTTTTGGGGACAAATTGGCTAGAGCTTGAACTGCAAGAACACAAAGTAACAAGGACAGTGCGTGAAAGAACATCCAGTTCTGTGGGCGCCAGCATCGTCAGACTCTTCATTAGCTTTTTGGCAGCAGCACAATCATCAAGACATTTCGGAGCAACTGCTTTGTCTGTGCTGTCTGACGAGTTAGATAGTCCAAAGTCTTTACACTGTGATGCATTAGAATACCAGTCACCAAGAAAACATGAGCACATACCCAAGACAGTAACTCGGCAATCAAGTCTGCCTTGTTACTAAATGTGCTCAATTGACGTGCCTTGCAGGCACCTGCTAGGAGTACATTTGTGAAGGGTGAGAGTGATTGTGAATTCAATGATATTGTAGAGTCCATCAGAATATCTAGGTTGTCAGTGCCCAGCTCAACCGGCAGTGGTGGAGGCAGAGGCAGTGGTGGGTGCACAGCTTGCGAATGTGCCACATCAGGCATCAGCAGGTCTTGGTCCTCCCTCTTGTGCTCATATTAGCAATGTAAGAATATGCTGATAAAGGAGATATACTTGCCCACTTCATAATGGCCTAGGCCATTTGACGGCATGTGCCAGCTCACTGCAAATCTCATTTGAGGCAAAGAAAGTAAAAGACATGTTTCCTACAGCTTTCAAGCTGTCGATGAGTACCTGAGCGAAGGAAAGCCTATGCATTGGTAAGCTCCATATCAGTAGGTTGTTTGATGATCATGGTGCTGCGATCCTTCTTAAGATGTCTCATTAATGAATCTTCTTTGTTGGACTCAAAGTCCATTCTCCAAGCAGCATGGCAATGAGTTTGAAGAAGACTGAGGTAAAGTGCATGTACAGACTCAACAACAGTAAAAAGGATGGGATCCCAATAAGGCAAATGCAAAGTTCGCTCCATCGCGCACCATATTCCTTCATAAGGGCTACTCTCTTGGCCACAGATTTTGCATCCCTCCATACTTGGGCATGTCTCATGTGGCTCATATGGTCTCAACATTCCCAAGTAGATTGATCAATGTTTTCGATGTTCTCTAACTGGAGGAGACAATAAAAACAGAAGCGAGTGGCACTATGTCCAGCGAACCCTGCAACTTGCTTGGCTGCCAGAGAGTCGCATACAAGTGGGATCAGGACAACATGAATGAGGCGCCTTTGAGGAAATTTGGTGGTACAAGTGAATGTGACACCAGGATTCCAAAAAGGCAGGAGTTCATCAACAATGAGTGTCAAAAAATGATTTATCTCATCTAAGGAAGGCTTCTGCAGGCCGAGTATAATGCCAACAAGATACATGTTTTCAGGGAGATACCAGATATCGGGGGGAAGGTTTAAACAGACCATGTACATGCCAGTAACCAACGAGGTCTGTTTGGCAGCCTTGGTCTGAAATGGATTAAAACCATTGACAGCTAGACTGAATATGTATCAGCCTTCACCCAGAATATGGGGACGCTCAAGGAAGCTCTTCTTATAGGGACCTTTAAACTTGTGGAAAGTCGTAGCATCCCATATGTCAGCCATCTCTTCTCCAGGCTGACAAACGTGGATATCATCCATAAGTTCCTCCACACTGGGTCTAGATAAAAGTCGTGCCCACCAGTGTTTCATATCCTGGTGAAGATACATGCAGACTGGGTATTGCAGGACCTTGCCTCGAACAATCTGCTTCATCCATAGCTTGGTGTCACATACTCGGCTCGTAGGAGTAGCATGATAGATACAGCAGAAGGGACATGGGGAGTCATACAAGGCAAAACACTCCAGGCAAAAAACATATGATCGAGTTTAAGGTTCCATATCAAATTGATTGATTATGGAATGAGGGTCTTTATAGATAAGCAAGGGACTGGTAGGAGACATCGCTTGGTCACCCGTTCTTCGGAGAGTAGCCATGGACAAGCGAACAATGGTTCTTAGGCAGACTAGTAGCAGGGAGGCAGTGTTACAGTAACATGGCATGAGTCCCCTGCCAGCAGACAGCCCTCTGCCACTGCACGGCTATAGACGATACCGGAGTCTCACCAGCTCTATGACCATAGATGACGATAGATGATGATAGATGATAAGCGGCAACTGCCGGCTTAGATAAGCGGTCTGGACCGCACATGACGACACATGACGACATAGGTCTAGAAGACCTATTTATGTTATCAAGATAGAAGGCAAGCCTCGTGCTGCCTCATGTACTGATAGAAGGGTACCGCATGGACCCTATCTACGATAGAAGCCCGCCTCATGGACGCTATCTCTGACTCATGTAGATAAGCAGATTAGAACCCAGCTTTAGGCTGAGCTTAGATACGAAGAGTAGCCTTATATAAGGTCGAAGATCAAAGTAGACGTTCCTTACTTTAATCTTACTAGGTTTACCCTTGAACTCCTTGTCCCGCTAAAGCTACCTGCTTGACATCGACTCGTACCTTCAGTGACGCCTCTCACTGTCTGTAAACCCTGCTATCATCTCAGCGTAACCCCTCGTTAACCACCACGAGCTACGTTCGAGTACGCAACCTTTGCTTGTCTGTAAAGGCCGACGACTCTCAGCACTTGGTACCACTGTCGTGGTTGTCGCTGTTTAGATCATCCTAGTCGCACACGACCGTTTGTCGTAACAGGCAGCACGACAATTCAAACCCGCAAAAAGATGCATGATTAAAAGCGTGAGGTAGCACACCAACACCATTGGTGGAAACGAGCGGTAATTGTGCTTAAAGTAAACTTCTGAAAGAACTTGTATCTTTGTGTCCGTATCTTCATTATTTTCTTCATCTGTTTGCTGCTTCTGCCATTTACACTCTTTATAGCCATCCAGTCGGTCAAGTTCCCTGAGAATTTAGTCATGGAGCAATCATATATGATCTTGTAACTCCTTGCTTCCATGGTCGGGCAATGAATCTACCTCTGCATACAAATTTGCCAGCCCATTCCCAGCATAGAGGAACTGACTATTGAACTCATGGTGTGTGTCAAGTGCGTGAGGTCCGCAATTGACTTCCAATAGTTTATCGGCCTCCTTATGGCTGAATTGCATGCCTATTTTAGGCTTTCCTGCGAAAACGAGGCACGAGGAAGGTGAATAAGAAAATACTATTTGGTGAATATTAGACTCAATGAATGCAAGATCATCCATAGTCTTCAGGTGTGTTGGAGAGAGGGGAGTAGTGGAAATGGCATTTTCTTTCTCCCTATTGTTCCTCTGAGTCAGCCTTTTGACCTCATGAGGTTTCAGACTGCTAGTGGGATGATATGAAATTTGTGGTACTAATATGTAATTAAAATCCCCCAACCTTTGTGCCGAGTAGGAATCAATGTCTTGATCTATGGGGATCCATGAAGATTGAACTCCATTGGCCTGGAGCTCAGTGTGAAGGCATGCCTGTGACTGATGCTGTCAATAGGTGCGCTCAGGCAACCATTCTCCCCACTCCATGTGATGAGTATCTGGATTGGGATTGACATCGATGTGTAAGGAACATTCATGACACTGACACAAAAAGAGTCTGGGAGATGTCTCGGGGGAGGGCGTGCATGCACCGACAGGTATCCCTTTGTGCAGGAAAGGCTTCATGATGCTGTTCTCAGTTTACAATAATCAAAATGGGATCAATTCCATTAAAATTTAACAGCTTTTATTATAAGGAAACTACCAATTAATTAAGATGTCGACAAACAAAGGGCAAAAATCCCTCAAGGAGCCAGAACAAAATAAAGGGTAAATTAGCCACTAAACCAAACCTAAGCTACACAAAGGCCAATCACGGCGAAGGCACAAGGTGATTCTGATGTTCCTGTTGCAATGAATTGTTGTGAGAACTGTAAGAAAGTCTGAAGATGAGCAATGCATGTATGAGAAAACTGTAAGAAGAGTTTTGTGACCACCCACAACCGCTTGAATGATATCTGATGCTGAAGACAATTATGAGGTGTCTTGTCAATCACATGCAAAGCATAGATCACTGACATGGATGTTGAAGAACTTGTTTAATGTGACGATCATCGAGGGAATAGATGATGATGAATCCGCAAGAGCTGCCACACAGAACACGCTTTGCTTCGTCCAAGATGACGACTGGGATCACCACATTGTGCACAATGGGAGAGGCAATGTGGTCAAGGAGGCATCAGTCGGGTATGCTATACACATCAAAGCCGCTGGATAGATTAGATACGACAATTAAGCCGGTATGATCAGTAACATGTATATGGATAGCAGCATCCACTGGCGGTAGAATAAGATCAGAAGTGTCACTTGTTCATGTAAATATTCACTCACATCCTGCGCGATACAGGTGAAATTGTCCAAAGTTGTTGATGGCGACAAAGCAACCACAAACTAAGAAATAAGAAATATCAATAGTATCCACTGGCTGAGAAACGCACATTACTCCATTATCCAAGTAAGCCACAACAGGTTTTTTCCCATCATCGTAGAATTGCATAGCACGAGGTACATCAAATGAACCATGCCGAGGTGGTGGCAAATTGAATCCAAACTCCCATGAGTCTACACAAATGACAGTGGATTGTGATTGTGAATAGAAGTGTTAGAATCATTGCTACCCACTTGATTTGGGTTGCATGTAAATTACTACTTCATGGCCCACAGTGATGGCAAGGGTAGTGTTTGAGCATCAAAGAGCATGCATTCAACGGAAGCACCAACTCCTGTGTCCAGTGATATCCCAGAGAGATGCTCTGCTTTTGGCAAAATTCAACATTCACAATGATGATGCTCAAAGGATTTTACCCACATGTGATTGTTCAAGATACGCAATAGTCACAGTCCCAGTTGCCTCACCGATTAACACAGTTTTAACTTCTCTCAGGTGCCAAAGTAGGGCAGCTACCCTTGATCCAAATTTCAACCATGCTAACTCCCAGATGGGGTTGACCCCAGCTGAAAAACATACACGTAACCGTCATTGCCTCCACCAGCCAGGTAGAGACCATTGGGAGAAATCCCGACACAATTTATCAATTGTTCCAATAGAATGATAGTGTGCAGTAACTCAAACCTCAGTGACCACGACAGCGTCACATACTCATTGGACGCTGGGATCATCGTTTCACGTATGCAAGAGACAATTGTGGATTCAAAGTCAGTGGAAAAGAGGGTGTTAAAGATTTATTATAGGGAAAAGTACAATAATTGATGAATGCAAGTGGCTCAGGCTTTGAAATGTTGGGCTGTGAAAGCCTTTGTTTGGTGTGTGCGGCTACAATTCTTAAAGCCCAACAAGGAACGTATCAATTCGACCGAATCTCAAAGGCTGAATATCATAGTCTCAATGGGATAAATGGAAGAGACGAATACTGACCTGACCTCCCTTCATGATTAATTGAAGTGGCCACCTATTAGGTTGGGCTAGACCGAGCATTAGCTCAGGATGGGAAGCAAGTGGAACCACTCGGGAGGGCGGAACACCTGCTTACAAATTTGACCATGACATGACTCTTCGAGTAGCTTTGGCCCAGGGATGGTAAAATGCAATTGATGCAGGAGACTATAAGACACTTGACTAAAGAAGTACTAGGTGTAAACTACGGTGTGACAAATTAGAAGGGAATGGTGGGTGGCTATAAAGAAACACTGTTCAGGCAAGTGAGGAGTGCAATGAACGAGGAAGTCGAGGACATAGGAAGTCTGTGTAAGGTCTGTGCAGACTCCACGTCCAGGTCTGTGTCAAGTCTTTGTCAGCGTTACCCGGGAATTACTAGGGGAGGTCTGTCAGCTGCCAAAGGTTTGTCTGCCCGCTGTCTTACATAACCACTGATCATGGGTGGCGGGAATGACATAGTCAGATGGGCCCGGCAGGATGCAATGAGAAAGGTGGCAGGAAAATGAGAGAGACAGCGTGCAACAGGAAAGGTGGCGCACAATGAGGGAGATGTGGGAGGGACTGTAGGCAATGAGAAAGGTGGTGCACAAGCAAGAACATTCCAGATCACCCGGCACCTGGATATTAATCAGAAGTTTTTATAAAATTATTTGGTGGTTTTCTAGCAGACTCAGAGTCATGAAATAGCATAATGAATTTGTATGACTCATTACTTTCTAGTACAGGTCCATGGTATGTTCTCCCTTCCTGTGCCTTCCTCTGTAAGTTGAGATTGTTTTTTTTGTCAACCAACAAGGTTCTGCATCAGACCTGATGAAAAGTCTGTAATCTTTCAACATGGGATGTTGGTCATTCACCTCCACAATAGACCAGCCATTTTCTTTCCACACCCACATCTGGACTTTGTCACTTGAACGATGGATGTGCAGGTCTCCTGCATTACTTGATTTGAGCAGGGGATGTGGTTGTGGAAGAATTTCCTCACCATGGGACTGATACACGTGCAGAGGATCCTCTACTCCATGAAGTTTGACCTCAATATGCTGTACTTGAGATTTCATGAGTTGAGGAGTCACGTCATGTTTGAATGGAGTGATGAACAAATCATGATGTTGGGGTGAGGGTGAAGTGGAAATAATGTGGGTCTCAAATATGGAAGCATGACCAGGGTCTTGAGGCGGTGACAGATTGGAAACTGTGTGGGTTTCAAATGTGAAAGTGCGGCCAGAGTGCTGGGGTGAGGGTGAATTGGAAACTCCGCGGGTTTTGGATGTGGAAGTGTGACAAAAGTCTTGAGGCGAGGGTAAATTGGAAACTCTGTGGGTGTCGAATGTCAAAGCACAACCAGAGTTTTGGGGCGAGGGCAAAGTGGAAAATGCATGTGTTTCGGATATGGATGTGGACAAGAGTCTTGGGGTGAAGGTGGAGTGGAAACAGTGTGACCAGAGTTTTTGGGTAAGGGTGAACTGGAAACTGCGGATTTTCAATATGGAAGCGTGATTAGAGAGCACAGGAAATGATGATGCAAGTGAAGGCAGGCATGTAGGGGAAACTGCGCGTATTTTCAATGCGGAAGCACGATTAGAGAGCACAGGAAACAATGATGGCAGTAAAGGCAGGCGTGTAGTGGATGCCTGTGAGTCAGCTGGTGTGGTATCTGCCCCGCCATCAAGTTCTGAAGTGAGAAGCTCAGAAGATTGAGCCACAGGGTTGGTATTGTGTAACAGGGAGTTGTCTAAAGTAGTGCTGGAAGAAGATGAGGGCGTTTTGATGGAAGGCTGTAACTCGGTGTTTGAAGATCCAACAAGGGGTAGAGAAGTCTGATGTTTTGAAACTGGCCAGTCTGCATCACGCTGCAGCAAGGATTTCCCAGAATTTGGTACCTTGTTGATGTGGGTGTTTGAATCACTACTGTTGCCACCAATGTGAGGAGATGATAGAAAGGTATGAATCTTAGAGAGCTTTCTCAGCAGTGGGGAATGTTGACAATGAATCAGAATAGGCTGTACACTATCTATCAGTCTCTGAAGGACAAACAAAATCGAACTGGCTTACATCCCAAAGAGAATTTGACCGAGTCTCATACTTATTTACATTATTGGAAACATTGTTAATGAAGGGGAATGATTGTCAGTGGATAGGGACCTAATCATTGCAAGAATGATGTTTCGACATGTATGAACTTGAAGTCGATGCTTGGAGGCTGCGGCCATGTGACATGTGATATAAGTGTCTCCTTTGTTTGGCAGTGTAAGGTATGTGTTCCCTTTGTCAACCTTTGTCCATGAATTGCACTATCTATTCATTGGCCTAGAAACATATAAATATGGTGGAGTTTGACTTTCAAATTTGTTCGAAATGTTTCCTAGTAACCTTCTTAATCACTTAGTTTCTCCTACAATTAATCGCAGTTCACGTCACTGACTCATTGGACACCAGTGTCAACATTCTCTTTGCTACAGCTGATGCCCTGGCTGTCGAGGTGTGTGCTACCACTGATGTTGCCATCAGTGCCCCACAATGTGCCTCGCTTGTCCTAGCAGCCCCTGAAAGCTGTGACCACCATCATAATTGGTTTGACTTTTTTCTTCCGTCTCTATCATTGATGGCATGATCTCCTCAGCTTGGTTCCTAATTAAGTTTGGGCACATTATCCATGTCAGTTCACTTGATCGTGGGTTGGGTGAAGGACCTTTCGACAAGCAATCCAAATTACTTCATGGGGTGAGTCGGAATCTTAGGAGATAATTCATTTCCTCCCTAATAATACTTTGGTTCCAGACCGACATGCATGTGGGAACCCTCCCAATCAATGGAACAAATTTCCACATCTACCTCCAAAGCCCTGTAGCTTTCTGGTGCTTCATACACATCACAACTGGATTATATCATGACCCTATCCATGGCATTGGCCTCACACAGGAAGCACTTGCATGTGCTTGGAAGGACTTCACTGTCCCTGGCAACTTCCCTCCTTTATCAGACATCTCTGCGAGTCGTAAGTTCCCCACTACACACACTAAAGTGTCAGTTGAGATGGAGGTCGGAAGTATGGACGTCGATGAGCATACTCCCATTAGCATTTTTGATAGCATTCATGCTACATACTCGCCCCTCTTTTAACTGACTACTAGTGCAATCTGGGGCTGACTCAAGGAGGGAAAGATTTAGATTGGTTGAAGAGTTGATTCATTGAATTTTCTCACTTGCATGTGGTTGTCGTATATACTTGTTTTTTTGTTAACCTCCACTTCAATTCAACACTGGTCCCCAGCCATGACAAGTTCATCCAGTATCGCATGGATGCTAGACATTTGTTGACCTCTCTAGATGTGTTGCTTGAAATAAGAGCTTGGTGCTGCCTGCAAGCTCACACAAAGGTTAACATTACTTATTGGATGATGCCAATGATAGCTAACCCGTGCATATATGTATCGTAGTGCCGTGTACATGCTAGTTCCTGACTCTGCCGGCTTGGTCTGATTAATGTTTTTCATCCATCCAACTCCTAAGGTTAGTGCAGAACTGAAATGAATATGTTTCAAGATCCGTTCTTTTTTTTCTGCTTTTGAAATATATCCTCTTTTCATCATACTAGTACACCTAACAATGATTCATATCCCTCTCGTCTTTGAACCTCCTGCTATTGTTCTTCAATGCTCAATTATCATCATCATCGAGCCAGATGATTGCAATGAGAGTCACACTCTCTGTCGTGATGTAAAATGATCAGTCATATATGTATCTCTCTACCAGCATGGACTTCATTATCTACATTGCGGCATTCATTAGAAATGGCCCGCAGAGGGTAACCCACTATCCACTTATCAGGAAGCCTTACAATCTGATTTGAGACATGCCAAGCCAATATCCTCTTGGTCACAGATTCCTATTGTCTGGCCTGTCCATTGTAAGCACCCTGTTGATCTGATGTTCCTGTACTCATACTTGCCCCAGTGGTTCAGACACATAATGTTGCCACCAACATTCTTGCTATCTTGATGATATCTGATATTGATGCTATTAGTCAGACTTGTCGTGCTCTCACATAATTTCTTGTGAAGTTGCCTGCTACCGCTTCAGATGACTCATGGAACCATTTGCAGGCACATGTATTCCAGAATTTCTCAATCTTTCAACCCACAATGGCAGTGTGATCACCAGATCTTCTGCACACACCATGGTGTCAGGGAACAAGGACAGTGTTCCTTGCGACCTGAATATTCTCATATCGTACATGTCTTTCAACATTTTCCACACTGTTGTTGAGCACACCCTGGGCCACCACCTGAGATTGATGGCACCTTGTATGAGTAATCAGAAAAGAACATTGTTATACCAAATAGATGTAGGCTGTGGAAGGAGCATCTTACAACATCTAGTGAGCCTAATAGGGAGGTAATTGTAGTATGCTCTATGTACTAGTTGAAGGAATGCCCCCTGAAAATCACACCCAATATACGGATACACTATGATGCTCTTCAAACAGTTCACAATGCGCATTCATTCTGTGCTCCTTCTCCGTCTTGGCATGCTGCATGACATCTTGCTATGGAATCAATATATACTTGCATGAGAAAAGATAGAGGCTGGGTGTGTGGAGGCCCATCCATGGGAGGATGATTTGATCCGGGGGTTTTCCCAGTCCACAGAGATCCAAAGATGACATAATCATTCCTGCAGAAATTTTGGCAATGCAATCAGAATTCTCATGGGAGTTAGGAACTAAGTTGATTTAAACAACAAAATGTACTGAATTTTGGCAAGCTATAGGCATCATATAAATCATTTATTTCGATGTTATTTTCATAGACTTCCAAATGTCTTCCAACACTCTTAATAACAATGAACACCAGGGCGATGATGTGGAGAATGAGAGATGTGATCATAGCCATCAGAATCATATTGTTGAAGCTGTGGCAGTGAATCAGGTACATTGTCATCACAGTCAAACAATGCACCTTTGTCAATTTAGATTATAGCTGAGATTCACAGCCCCAGCAGTGCCGCTTACTGGTCTACAAGTAATGAATGATTTGGTGCCACTCATGGAGGTAAGCGTTCACTTCCAACCTACGATCATACAGTCTGACTCGCATCACACACAAGGAAGCTTTTATCCACATTTTGAGTATTGCTGCAGATTGTGTGACATTACGTATACTGAACCCTGAGGTCCCCTTGTCCCTTGTATGGATTGTCCTGCCATTGTTATGACTGGGGTCGTTCTTCTTTACTAAGACTGGATAGTCTCTGATAGCAAAGTGTGGTTCTTCCTATGAATATAGGTTTGTAGTTTCAGGCTAAGGACAGTGACACTGACTGCCTTAGAATAGTGGTTTCTGACTACCAAGGCAGATCCCTTAGTAGAGCGGATATTCCAGGTAAAACCCAGTAGATTAAAGTGAGGAATACAAGTGGTAGCTACTGTGCTTAAATTGTCCGTATGGTGTGCACAGACCAGGCTGGAAATAGTAGATAGGGACATACATATCAAGATAGAAGCAGTTAGCGAGATAAGCAGAGTCAAGATAAGGGCTATGCATGGGGGTGGTATCGGTTGCTAGAGCGATAAGAGATATAGTGAACAATGTACTGGAAAGTAATCGGTATTCACACAGTCTTGACTGACATAGACCATAGTCTGGTGATAGGAGAATAAATGGGGGTGTGCATTGACCGTAACTGTTACAGGCATCTGTAACACCTACAGGAGCCCCAGCTCTGCCTATGCCTGCCCCCACTCTGCTAGACTCCCCGCGCGGCGGTGCGCCGCCTGCGCCTAGAAAGACAGCGGTCTGGACCGCTGTGACGCCGCCCCTGGCGCTATGACCTGCCCCTGGCCTAGATGGCCTTGTACCTGATCCATGGAGGCTGTACGCCTCATGGTCACCCTAGATCAGTGCATGCATACCGCATGTCGCTTCATGAAGATCCGGAGCGCTCTTGGCGCTTCCTGTACCTATGCGCAGCTGCCCTTGGCGCAGCATGCTTGATCAGAGGTTAAGCCTCATGTACTTATCTGAACCTCATGTCTTGTTATCATAGATCATAGATATACTATTGATTACAGACTGAGCTAGAATACTTGTAGTACTTCCCTATAAGTAGACAGGATTATTGTACTTAGACTTTACTTTAATCTACTAGGTTCATCCCCAGAACTTGCTCAACTAAGCCTTACCAGCTTCCTTGTGTGAGACTGCACTTCTAAGTCGCTCCCATACAACTTAGCATGTATCCGCTAGCCCTGTATCTCGACGAGCGCCATCTTACCGAGATCACCGGAGGAACCCTTGACGTTCCGTCAAGCTGAGAACCACCCTCAGCTTCAGTAGACTCACTCGAGTCGTCGCTGAGAAGACCTATCCTAGTTCACACACGCCGACCGACGGTCGACGTAACAGTAACAGCCATTAGATGGGTTGATGGGGGAACTATTTGCGCACTCGTGTGACTGAACATTGCATTAGGGAAGCAATGATCACCGAAGAGATGACAAGGATCTTGGGTCTGCCTGTTGGAGAGACCCTGAGGGATGAAGAATAATAAACACCACATAACGGCCTCCTCAGTGTTGCAATCACTTTCCACATTGTATTAACATATTCTTCCTACTTTACATCACGGCTTCAATATACTGTGCTAGTAAGACATATGTCTTGCTTGAAACACCATTTTCAAAGCTGTCCATACTCGGTGGCCCCAGCTTGTTACCAAAATTATGGGCGTTCTGATCTACTTACTGATCCCACTACTTAGTCTTTGCTTACACAAGACATATTCTACAACCAGCAACAATTGTGCAGATTTCTGCGAATCTATCTAAATTTGTGATTTTTACATCACTGCTCCCACTATGAGCTCTGAATGGCTTGAGGCATGGAGGTGGGAACACTAGTGTGAGGTATATCTGTGTCCTTCAAAGTTGTCCAGGAATTTTATTTTATTTGTTTCACAGGTGTGAACTCTCAGGAGTATAGCTGTTTTCTTTGTACAGGAATTTCCTCAATTTGCTACAAGGTCAGCCTTTACTGCTGCTGCTTGGAATTTTGAACACCTGCAGGCATTGTGTCTCAGTAGTGTGAGGTAACTTTATCTTTGTCTAGGATTCTCCTTATTCCGTAAGTCAATGTCAGTGTTTTTTTACATCATTGTGTGATGCTCTGAATGCCTGCAGGCCTGGTCAGTAGTTGGGGACTGGCGTGAGCAAAGGAGCAAACACCTTTGTAGCTGACTTGCAATTCGAAACAAATTAATAACTCAAGAACTCAAGTGTTGGTGTCAGTGGCATAGCACTATTTCTTAAAATAGCTCGCCTCTTTGGAGTATTATAGATCAGCTGAACCAATATTTACCACCTCTGCCGACAACTTTAATGTCAACTGTGGCCTGACCATGTCTACACATCTTCTGGTCTATTCAATGCCACCAAGCCTAATTGTTGCATGCAGCTCTGTTCCTTAAGGATGAAACAATCCAACAATTAAAACACAACGAAAAACATTATGATGCACTCTGTCTGAATATGGGAATGAGGCTGCCTGAAGTTCCACAAAAGATTAAAGTCTCTTATCTATGACCCCGTTATCTCATGATGTCAAGAATCACTCAAAGACTGAAGACCGCCATAATTGGGCAAAAAAAGAACAGAACAAGACTAGCAAATCAGCTCATCTTGACCTCATTAACCCTACTATTCACTACACTCAACCTTGGTACTGTACCACCACTACCACTGTTGAATCCTTTCATGTTTACCAATAAAATCGCTAAGATAAGGGTCAGCTACCCTCCTGACTTCAATGGAGACTGAGACAAATCTGAGAGCTACATGATGGTGTGCGTCACCTATATGGATATCAATGAAAAGATCTACAAATCTGACAAGATTAAGATTATCTTCACCCTCTCTTTCATGAATGAAGGGAATGTGTTCCTATGCAGAGAGGACTTTTTTCAATATAGACAAGACCTAACAATAAAAGACTCCCAAGGGTTAGTCATTGGGTATGGAGATTAGATGACCTTTTAGAAAGAATTCAAAGAAGCATTCGGGCCCATTGACCCCACTGGCACAGCAATGGCCAAATTGAAGATCCTTAGAATGAAGGATGACCTCCAAGAATATATATCCAATTTCAGAACTCTCACTCATCAGGCTGGGATAACAGAGGACATTACTTTCAAATAATTCTTCCTTGAGGTGTTAAGAGATGGAATCATCAATAAACTATTCCAGACCAGAAATGTTTCCGATGATTTCAATAAGGTGGCTGAAGTTTGCATCCACCTAGACAACACCTATCAGACCTATCAAGCCATCAAGAGGCATCACCAACCCCAGAAGAAAACCTATTTCAGTGCCTGGACTTACCAGTCATTGTATGACCCTAATGCTATGGAAGTCAACTGATTGGATGATAAGCAGAGAGAAGAACACATGAACTGGGAAGTGCTTCAAATGCCACCAGACTAGGCATTGTACCAATGACATCGCCTTCTACCTATAAGAAGACAAAAAGCAGAAGACACCAATCAGAAGAAAGGTAGAGAAGGAGGAAAGCAGCGATGATAAAGTTGAGAACCACTGCTTTGTGGAGATGGATTTTTAAAAGAGGCTGCCTCAATATCAGTACCTCCAATTCCTATATGATTTGTATAATTACTTGGAAATAGAAAAGAGCTCAGGATACCAGCCACTATCTTTTCCAAAAAGCATATAAAAAATGTTGATACCTCCATGGTAGTAGATTCCAAAGCCTCTGGAACCTTCATTAGTGATACATTCTGCAAACTACACAACATCAGGACCCACAGACTTTCTAAACCATTTCTGGTAATAACTGCAGATGGATCAGATGCCACAGGAGGACTCATCTCCAGGTACTGCATTCTCATGGTCAAAATAGATGAATTCAAATAATTCAAAATGAATATTACAATATTTTGAGGTCTACCATGCACATCTATAAAGGTGAGCTTATTCTTGTCTTTGGGATTGATTTTGAAGAGTGAATAGATGATGTTGGGCCATATAGTGGATCCTCGAATCAGCTTAATAGTCTTCTCAGCTAGTCACCAGGACATGTCACGTAAAAGTGCTTGAAGGAGAATGACTACAAGTGTCATTAGCCCTTTTTGTGTTTCCTCTGCATTTACTGCAGCACTCATGAATACAAGTGACTTTCTACCTTCTGTCCCTAAGACAAGAAGAAGATTATGTTGAAGCTGGGCTGTAAGCTCTACAGCAGCTGCTTGCTCTTTGGATCAAAATGAAGCCTCAGAACCCATTATTGCATGAAGTTCTGAATACCTGGCAGGACTTAATATAACAGCACCTGCATCTACAGCAATCTTAGTCTGAATTTGAGGAGCAAGTGATACAGCTAGTGTGAGGATGATAAGAGTAGCAATTTCCTTGGAAAATATTCTCATTTATTTAGGCTTCCAGTGAGTTGGATTTTTGGAAGGAATAAGATGGGATGATAATGCTGGCGAATCTAGAGATGAGCATCTAGTAATCATATTGTAAGTAACTTGGCTGAGGCAAATAAAAACTCTAAGATGTTCCTCTGAAAAATTTTGAATGCTGGAAAAATCAAGACCATAGCGCTTAGCTACCTCTTTCCCATGACTGCTTTGCTCATTAAAGAGCTTATCTATCAGCTTGTATTTGTCTACTAATTCATGGAGGTGCCTTTTCATTATGCCTATCAAGACATGGCGAGTAGGTGCTAATCTCAGCAAGTACCCTAGGCCATCATCTGCCACTGTTTTTCCAGAAATTGAGGATAAGATACTGCTCAAATCATCAAAGTCCCATTCTTTGTCAAGGTTGGTAAAAACAAGAGTGTGAAGATGCATAACTTCTGCTTCTGATGGAGCTTGGATGGATTTAGCAAGGCAATTAAGAGCTGGTACCACTAGTGACCCCTAAAGTATGAAGAGCTAACTAACATAAGGCTCCAGACTATAAGAGATAAGTCTTTGGCTCCCAGTGTTGGTTTGGGTCTTGTTATAGAGAGTGATGATATTAATATGACTGCTGAACTAATACATGTTCCTGGGGTGTAGGATGGTGTTTATCCAACACAGAATATTTAATTCTGTTTCTCTTCCTAGCTGCTCAGAGCCATAATGCATAAGAGCAAAGAGGTTACCAAGGCAAGTCTCAGCTACCTTTTGCAATGAGGGTAGAACATATTGTATTGGTTGGTCAAAAAGCAGTATTCAGGGGCTGTCTCACTTAGAATGTTATAAATGACACGATAGTTAAGATCAAGTAACCAGAGCCCAAGAAGGACAACTTGGTGAAGAAGCTTTGTGGTATTTTCCAGTAGTATATCAAATATGTTGCAAAAGGCAGGCATAGAAATTAGTCGGCCATTCAGCATAAGCTTTTCACCGACTTGGTCCATCTATATTAGGTGAGGCATTAGGACACACTTGGCAGCCAAATGATTGATGAAGTGAGAAAACTCTAGGATCTAGCTGAAGAAGGTCTGTAGTGAGTTTGGCTGTACACAAATCCAGCAGATGACACATATCAAGATGTAGAGGGGTGCATATATGATACAGTTGATGGTATTGAGGTACATTATAATGTCCGGGCTTCCATAAAGGATGGGGAGAATTGAAATATCATCTTTCATACAGGTATCATTAGGCAACATTAGCCTAAGAGGGAAAATATCTTTTGGTAGTCATATCCTTCCCTTAGCTTTCTCTTTTCTTATGAATCATGGAGGGGTAACAGGTGGTTTATTGATAATATCTATTACCATGTCCTCATCCAAGCAACTATGGTTATCTGGGCTCTGAATGGGTGATGGCAAGTAAGGAGACATTGCATCCAATGCTTTCATGTCCGTATATGTTAATTGAATGTGCTGTGAGTCAGGGAAAGGAGGAATAGGGAAGATGAGCTTAAGATAGATAAATGTGATAGTGAATTACCTGCTCTATTTCACTGGTGGAGCTCAGTAAACTCTGAGACTCTGATCCCAATACTTCCATCTCTACATTTGTGTTTTGAACTTTTGGGGCCAGTGGAGGTTAAGATGGCTCTCCTGTTACGACTGGGGTATGTTGAGCTGTCTTAGTCCGAGTGGACTGAGATTCGGCGAGACAGACGTGGTTCTTCTCTCGAATGAGAGGTCAGAGGTTTCTGGCTAAGGCAAGTATCGGCGACTTCCTTAGAATAATGGTTCTTAGATAGCAAGGTTGGAGACCTTGCTAAAGGACTAGTTCCAGGTAGAACCCAGTAGATTAAAGTGAAGAACTACATGTGGTACGCTATGTATCTATATAGCGAGAGTTCAAGCGGAGCTTGTAAATGTGTATCAAGATAGAAGGCGGACAGCCCGCTTGGTAGACAATAAGAGACAAGAGATAAGAGATAAGAGATAGTAACCATGGTGCGGACAGCCTGCTTTGATAAGAGATGATCGGCTAAACATAATGATGGTTACTAGCACGGAAAGTCAGCTTGGCGATGATATGAGTAAGAGTCTGGAAAGTAATTGGTCGTTCATCAACAGCTGTGTTTAAGTACCATTGTCCGGTAACAAAGGAGAAGCGAAGAGAATTAGTGTGCCGTAACATCTCCAGTATTCACTCCTCCCACCAAGTTATGAGACTCAATATAATAGTTCAGCTGGAGCTGGTGCTCTTCATTGTTAGCATTCATCCTAGAATAGTGATTGTATATTTTTTGGTAGTTCTCAGTCATCAGAGTGCACCTAGGGCATCTAAAGCATTGGTTGTCTCTGGAGGGAAATTTGACAGTGATGCAAGCAGAATGCAGATTTCTTTTATGCACACATATATCTGATGACTTGTCGAAAACCTTCTGGCATATATCACATGTGTGAGCCATTTTGTGGAACAGAGATATATAAGACTTGTGCAACTAGACACCAGTAAAAAGTGGTTAGAAAACTCAGAGTGGAAAAACAGAAATCTGACTAATATTTTCAGACCAAATTCTAATAGTACTAGTGTGTACTTAAAGTGTAACTGGTATTGAATCACAAACTATGGAAATCTCTCCTAGGACTTCAGAGAGTGCATAAACAAACTAAGTATATTTGTTCTATAACCTTCTGAGACTCTTTCTGCAACTTCAGAGATCCCAGGGCCTATATGCAAACCAAGTAATATGTGCTCTGGGATCTAAAGAGTCTATGAAGGTCACAGACCTTTTCTAAGACTCTTTCACATACTTCTATAACTTCTATGACTACAGAGATCCAAACATTTATAACCAATTAGATTGGGAAATACATTCTGTGATCTTTTGAGATTCTTTCTGAGATGTCAGAGATTCCAGGGCCTATCTGCAAACCAAGTAATATATGCGCTCTGGAATCTAAGGAGCCTATGAAGGTCACAAAACTTTTCTGAGACTCTTTTACAAACTTCAGAGATCCAGGTGTTTGTAACTAATTAGATTGGGAAATTTGTTCTGTGACCTTTTGAGACTCTTTCTGCAACCTCAGATGATAGTAGTGACTTCCATTTGAGTTGTGTAATATACAAAACAAAGTATCTATTTAATACACAGATAAGTCATCTTGCATCAGAAGTTACAGTTATAGTGGCTGTAGCTATTAGATGCTCACTCAACACCACAAAACTTAGGTTCATTATTCATATGATGAATAGTGTCAAATGTAGTAGCCTAACAATAAGACATCACCATAAATTCCCCTGCAAAACATCAATTGAGAAGATAGAATTTTCTTCTTATTTTTCCTGTCAAAACATTAAAAAAAAGTAATTCATGTTTCAATGATTTTCTGTGTGTAGGACATGATGGAAAAATTAATCATGTTCCTTCAAGAATAATGCTGTATTTTCCATCTATTGTCTTTTAAATAGCAGCTTACAATAATGTTAATTTTCTTCTCTGTGTTCTCCAAATATACTATGTTTTTCATGTAAGCTGCTATTTAAAAGACAATAGATGGAAAATACAGCATTATTCTTGAAGGAACATGATTAATTTTTCCATCATGTCCTACACACAGAAAATCATTGAAACATGAATTACTTTTTTTTAATGTTTTGACAGGAAAAATAAGAAGAAAATTCTATCTTCTCAATTGATGTTTTTTTGGATGTTTGGTGGAGAAAAACGGGAAAATGTCTGCAATGCTTCCTGAGAGATAGTTATAAATAGCATTTTAATGGAAACACACTGAGCAGTGCAACATGGATGGAAAATACAGCATTATTCTTGAAAGAACATGATTAATTTTTCCATCATGTCTCACACACAGAAAATCATTGAAACATGAGTTACTTTTTTTTAATATTTTGACAGAAAAAATAAGGGGAAAATTCTATCTTCTCAATCAATGTTTTTTTGCATGTTTGGTGGAGAAAAATGGAAAAATGCCTGCAGTGCTTCCTGGGAGATAGTTATAAATAGCATTTTAATTGAAATACACTGAGCAGTGCAACAATGTCAAGATTTGCATTTGTTTATTTTTGTTGAAAATCAGCAGAACCCATAATAGTGGCTGACAAGGTGATATACTCATTGTAAATACCACCAGAATTACACCATGTGTTACAGGTGTGAATACAGATATAGATCAACATGCAAGTATGTATTTAAAGCAAGTTAGACAAATTCAAGACATCCAGTCCAAACGAAGTAGTTTAAGCTTGACCTCCACCGTCATCACTTTTATACAATCTGCTGTCCTTCCTCCTGTGACTTTGTTGGCCTATGATGAGATGGCTGGGATAACCTTGCATTCTTGCACTGGGCAGCAGGGTATACACACAAAGAGATTGAGTTCTACATCTTGATGCTCTTTCTGATACAACAAGTTCATTTGCAGTGCAGAAAGGGTGGATGAACATTTTGCAACTTTGTTACCACCAGTTGCCTTTGCCCACTCTGTTGTCATAAGCTGTGGCTTGCAGAGATGAATAAGATCAAGGTTAGTATGTATCTAGACAAGCACCTAGCTGATGATGTCGAGCATTCTTGAGTGGCTTGGTGTAGGATTAGTAAAAAGAAGCTATCTCATCTCCTTCAACATCATCTTCATAGGTTCAATCACCCAGTACTCACCCAACAGCCCTTCCACCATAGAAAACCCTGCATCAGTAGCAAGAAAGTGTCATTTCTCAGTTACTTTGTACCAAATCTCCATCTCAATAGTGTTTTCAAGCCACCAGTAGAGCCACATCTCCATGCCACTTGTCATATAAGGGTTTGGAACTCTCTTCAATGTGTACAGTATGTCTAACATGATAGCGAGGGTAAGGATGACATAATAGTATCCCTCCAGATCATAGACAATCTCACGGTGAATAACATCTGCACCTGGTTGTTGAGCTAGCATTATCTCGATTGCCATCCATGCATGAGTGTCCTATACACAAAATGTGATTAGCAGTGCAACAAGAGGCTGATAATTAATACTGACTGTTAGCTCATAGATGCCACCCTTGTCTGCAAAGCATCTCAAATCTTCATCAGTCATTGAAGACCTGTAGCCTGTAACATTGACTTGGAGACTTTGCACCACATCTTTTGGCTTAATGTGCACCTTGGGCACATAACAAGCAAGTTGCTTTGGTAGGTTGTTGTTTGGTACATCTTGAACAGAAGCACTCAGAATGTGTTTGTGAGTGTGGGAGGAGATTGGATGTGAAGAGGGCTGACCACTGGCAGTAGTGGAGGATGAAGGTTTCCTAATAGTAGCTTTAGCAATACTATTGCATACAGTAGTACCTTTGTATCTGCTGCGACCACATTCTCTATGTTTCTGTTTACCTGTCCTCTGTCCTCCACATGATGGCATAGATGAATTATATTGAGAAGTCGAAACAAGTGGAATGTCTGACCGCAATAGGACTATGGAAGTGGATGTCATGTCAAAAAGTAGGATAGGAGGACATTCAGGGGGAGTGTGAGGCAAAATGGAGGGAACACAAGCAAGCACAGGGGAGGTATGAATAGGCACAAGGAGGCGGCAATGATCTTGGATAGTATGTTGTTACAAGGGAGGCATTGAAGCAGCTGGTGCAGAAGGTTTAAAGATCTTTGACAGAAGCCTCACTTTTGATGAAATTGTGGTGAATCATATAGACCATGAAGAAAAGGCATGATCATATAGTAGGCCATATTGAATCCCATTATTATCGCCAAGCTCTATATTATCAATGGCTCTCAGTCTGATTGTGTTGGATGCATGAGGCCCATATTCCACATTGAGGTATCAGCTTGCATAATAAGCCACTTCTTCATGAACTCCCAAGATCTAATGGTTTGTAATGCCTCTGTGATGCACCATTGCAATAACATGACTTGATGAGCCACGGTCCCACACCTATGAAGGTTATTACTAATACACAGTACCATATCAATTATAACCAGTCCAAAAACTTTTGATTGTATAAATTGTCTATTGTCATGCATGATGGATGTCTCCAACCCATCATACCTGTAGATATGCACCAAGTTGGCGGGTAACATGTGGTACTTTCAGATCTGGACAACCTATGTCTGCTGTCCAGCGACCTATGATTCCAATTTGGATTAGAAAGTAATAGATCAATATGACACATACCTTGATTATCCAGGTATCCTTTCTTCTTAAACTCGATGAGAACATTCTTTATATTTCAAATTTTAGTACAATGGTCGAGGTTTTTGCAGTGTTGGAAGATAACTTCATCTTGACATAAGTTATTGATAACTTGGTGCATTACTTCTTTGTTATTGTCACTCTGCATAGCCACAAATTCTTAGGATGGGTGAGTTGGAGGTTATAGAAATGCCCTAAGTTTGTGAGCCTGCTTAGCAACCGAGTTTTGGTATGCCTCATTAGTATCTGGAATGAAACCCCTTGATTGAATCTCAAAGAAGCCTGTAGACTGCTACAATATAAGTATAGAAAAGAGCAACTCACTATGTTATAACTTCTATGTTCCAAATGCCCAAAACATGGGCTGAAGAATAGTGGAGATGACACCATCAAATGGAAAGGTGAAGACAGATCATGAGGACAACTATGCAAACAAGGGTTATCAATGAAATTACAATCAAGTAGGTAATTACATGGCTTACTGAATCTTAATAGAAGCATTCAGACTCATGTTTGATACTTTTTCTGAACCAATTCTGAACCAGCATGCTTGAACCTATATAGCAGTACCATGTTTATGTGGCAAGAAAAGTCTTATAATCAAGGTGGATCAAACTGGTAACATATAATGAGTTCCATTGGTTGAAAGCTCTGATTAGTGCAGAGCCATGTGATAGTGAGCAACTTGCAATCACAACCCTAGACTAGGGGCAATGTTTGGGCATTCTGAGAAATTTGTTGTATTGTGATGGCTACTAAGTACTGACTTGCATGTTTCAGGTAAATATTAAATTACAAAAGAGCAGACTTTCTGAGGCAGACATCTGCACTAGCACCCTATTGCCTAATTAGGAAATGCCCACTCACTGCACACTACAATGAGCTCAACATTTAATATGTCTGATGTTTATCTATTGTCCAACAACAATGTACTGCTAACTGATTCCTCAGTAGTTACATTAGATATATATATTAAAATAAACTATGATATTTTATGATGTACAATGTATACTACACTACTATACTGATGTTAATGTCTGGTACCATAGTGTGGCAGGGACTTAGTGAAATCTCCCATTTTTGATGATAGAAGCAGTCATGTGATGTTGGATGAAGTTCGGTGGAAAAGCTTATATAATCAAAAATGCCAATAATTCAAGTCTCCTTACTCTCTTTTCTTTCTTCCTTTTCAATCCTTTTCTTTTCTCTTCCTTGTCCTTAGGTCAGGCTCCTGGATATTCAAGTTGGGATGTGTTGGTGTAGATGGAGCTTTGGGATTGGTGCAATAGTATGCATCTGCAGCAATACTGGGCTTCAGTTCAAACTCACATCGAGCTCAGTAATTGGGCTGCTTCTCAGAGGTTGGAAGACATGTACCAAAACCTCAAGCATTGGGTGTTCATTTATACCAGAGTTGCAGTTATGTGCAACAGATTGTCTCCATACCACCAGGCCTATTGAAGAAATTCTTTGGTTTTCATAACTGCAGAAGCCCTTCAACAGGCCCTATATAGCTGACTGTACTATGATCTTGGTAGTATAAGTATTTAGATGGTTTAATAGTTATCATCCTAATTTGACTGTGGGATATGACACAACCTCGGTGGTATCAGCATCCAAGACAATGTACTCTGGTCAACATAATGAAGGTTATTTGTATATATAGACGAGCTTCAGGTAGCTATGGAATAGTTCATAGATACCATTATTCAAACCTGCTATTGTCTGCAGTACACTGCATCTGTGCGACACCATTAGTGTTACTAATTAGTAATGAACATGTGATGTGATGTTTGTTACTAACTAGGGGGGAAAGTCTATGCTGCGGTACTTCAGCAAGTTCTGCAGTACTCGGCAATAACTTAGGTAGGGTAGAATAATAGTCATCAGACAAAGTCAAGAGCAGAAGTTACCACTAGCAACACATAGTCACTACTTCCTGACACCTCCTCACCTTTTCCCACATCCTACAAACCTTCATGCTCATCGCTGGGCATAATGAGTATAAAATACCCTTCAAACTCAACTAATTTTGAATGTTTCTTTCTGCAACTTTGTTTAGTTTGATATATATGTAGTTATACATGTATATGGTGAGTATTTTTATTGTTCAGTATTGAGACTTAACCACCAACAGGCACTACCTTCTTTCCTACCATCACTGTCACTGCTTCATGCATTGAATGAAGATGTCAACATCCTTGTGGGACTGCCTCCTTCACACAGATAAGGTGTAACCATTTGGCAGAACAACAGTGCTAAGCAGAACAAATAAAAGGTACATTCTTATGACTCACTGTTTCCTTCTCTCAACTTCCATTGAAAGAAAACAGCCTGCATATGTAAACACTGCTTAGTACTGCAGCATAGACTTTCCCCCCTAGTTAGTAACAAACATCACATCACATGTTTGTTACTAATTGATGACACTAATGATATCACACAGGTGGTACACTGACTGTGTCCTTTCATATTGGCTGATGATGTATCTCAGTAGGAAATAATCCTGGGTCCACATGCATTTACATGACATGAGTCAGGTTATGCATACATTTCAGAGGAAAGAAATTTTAAGCTTTTGGATCATGGTAGTACTATTGTGTGGGCCCAATAGTCTACCTTGGCTGCACCAGCAGCTGGCTCCATCCTTATATCTTGGCTTATCATATCGGCCTTACTATTAATTAATATAGGTTGTATAGTTGTATGGGCTCAGTTGTTCACCTTGGCAGTACATTTGTCTGGACCCATCCCTATATATTGCTTAGTCATATTGGCCCTACCATCCATATTCATATAGGTGGTACTATTGTATGGGCTCATTCATCCATCTCGAAAGCACAGGCACCTGGGCCCATCCCTATATCTCGCCTACTCATATCGGCTCTGCCATCAGTATGGGTATACTATTCATTGTATGGGCCCAACCATCCATATCAGTAGCACGGTATTTATCTCACATACTAGGCCCACCCCTCCCCATTGGTATACCTTCATTTGGGCCCACCTTGGGTGATCTGTCTTACTGGGCAGATTATCAACTTTAGGTGGCCCTATATATCAGAAAAAAGTTACTGAAGGGGCTCTCCCTCGGGTTTATCTACTTCCTTCATATTAACCGATAGTTCAAATTTTGGTATCATGAGTGAGTTGTATATTGTGGTAGAGAGCATTTTGTCGGCCCTTAGGTAAGTTAGCAGTGTTGAACATAAAATCCACTACTACTCACTGATGGTTCCTATAGACAATTCCTGTGTATCCTGCTCCTTGTTCTATGTGATACAGCAAATATTGGCAAAGTTTTTGAAATATTTATAGGCTTGCACATTCTTGTATGACCCTTTGTTCATTTAGGTGCCTAATAAAACAGTGGTAATTATAATACAAACAATATTACTCACTTTACTCATTATATAACAATGGTGTCTGGCCCTAGTCATTATATCCTCTATGCTAATAGATTCATTGAGTAATTTCATCCCTCAAGAAGGAGTATTTTTGAAAGGTGGATGTTATTGATGGATGTGTCATGAATCAGGACAAGTTATGGACACATCACATATAGTTGATAAATATGTGACATTTGACATATTACAAACCTCACTAAATATTCAAACACACATACAGAAACACCATTCATGTCTTCAAATACATCAAATATTATTCTATTGCCTGATAGATTAAACCATAGTCACAATGGTGGTGCTAGGAGAATACAATTAATCTATGGTGGAATATCTTTATTTGACAAGTATGGATGTGAAAGCATGACAAATCATCTTATGTTGAAGTTGTAAGTTAATACCAAACTACATCAATAACTTGGCAAATTATTGGAAACATTGATAAGCTGAAGTCCATAACAGTAAAGTATGGACTATGTTTCATTTGTGTGTGCTGATGAAAGGTATGAGTGTATGAACAGATGACTTCTAGCTTCACATCTCATGAGAAGGATAGTGACAATACTACAACCTTGGGTATGAAAGATCATATCCAATCTGTGGCAGTAAGACAACAACAATGGTATTAATCACTCTTAGAGGATAGAAGGAATAAAACCAGGCAGAAGGACAGACTCAGAAAATGGCTTGAATATGCTAGAAAATGAGAGAACTCCCATAGACATATCCATGATATTCATTTCTTGACTTTGGATTACCTTTGTTCACACCAGACAAGTACTTTAGTACTTTAGACACATCTTTGGAACATTGAATGCATCTTGGGTGACTTTTTCTTCTTTCATCTTTAATCTTAATAAGACATCCCTGGCATTTTAGATCAAGACATAGTTCTATAGGCAATCTCTTTGGGACAAATTACACTTACATCTTGAGTTCTAAGATAACTACTTTTGTAGTGCCTACTAAAAATTAACTCTTTACACTGAGTCCTATCATATTAGATCAATGCATATTTCAATGGTCTGTACATATGCTAATAATGAAGATTTGACTATAGGTATTATTGGACAGAGCGTGCCTGCACAGTCTGGTATGGTGCAATGGTAGGATGGCAGGATAAACATCCTGCCTACTATCATAAAGAAAGGTGTCAATATTTGTAAATATGGGGATGTTCAAGTAGTGAAGTTCTTTGCATCATTTCCAGAGTCCATGTCATCATCAAAGTATATCCTGCACCTATTTTCTGCCAACATAGAACATGATGATATCATGGAAACGATTGAATGCTCATTGTATAACAACAAACCATAGTCATTTAGGGGAATAGAAGAAATACTCTGAAAGAAATAACAACAGAATGGCTAGACCACAAGTTGTTCCACTCCATATAATACAAACCTGTGTCAGAAATCTTGAGCATGGAAGACATTTTGGCTGAAGTCAAACAACACAGCAGTGCCCTATTCACAAGGTAGCACATCCGAACAACTTCACCACCTATTTTTGGATGCTGTTGCATCATCCTGGATATGTTTCATTTGCATATCATAACACTGATGGTGTTACAACATACATTCACATTGAGCAAAAAGAAAGATGTGAATCTTATTCCATCTTAAATCACAAAAGAGTAGTTGTGCAGCCTCTACCAATATGATAATGAAGCTGTTGGAATATCCAAGTAACAAGGAGGAGGTGCATGAGTTGTGATATGCTGAAGTGGCTTATCTAGGTTCTGGAGATATCGTATATGCATGCTTTACTTTAGTTATTATGATTCTAGGTTCCAATATGCATGTAGGATACATTCCCCTAGACAGTTTTACAGAGCTTACACACCTGTGGAAGGCCTTGTGATGGAAGCTTTCTTCCTTAACCTTGCATCAATATATTATACAGAAAGGGCCTGGTATATGGACTGTAAGAAAGCAGAGTTCCTTACCAATTAAACACATGCTTACTCTTATGCACTGGAGACAATAAGGAGAATTTCAATTGCTGTCTCACATTTATCAATAAGAATTCATAAGCATCACCTCTTGCTGGTGATGGACCTTTACAGCTCTGTATAATCGCTTACCCATGAGCTTTTCTCTCATGGTGATTAAATGTCAAGATTACATTGCACCTGATGCTAAAAAACACAAGATTTAATCTTTGGATACTACATTCCTTGCAGAAGAGATATGCCAGACTATTGTAGCATTTATTGGCATCAAGAACCTTTGAATCATCTCTATGACACTCTTCAGAGACCAATAGGACATGGCAGGCAATCCTATTGACAGACTTGTTATGGAGGCATTTGGAATGGTTCAGGGTGCTGGAAGACTGGTGGATAGATGATGAATTAGATAGTTCATTTCTGAACATTGAATTAATATATCACCAGGGGGCTATGTGTTGTACAATACAGATGCTAGTAGTTTAAGTTAATATGTGTTACAACCGCTATCTTTATACTTTCTTGCCTCTACGATATGCCTTCCTTTTTTGAACTTGTACTTACTATCTCACGATGACTTGGTCTGTGCGCACATATGGATCTATTTAAGCACATGTATTACGCTTGTATTCTTCACTTGAATCTTACTAGGTTTTACCTGGAACATCCTTCGCTTAAGACCCCCAATCTTAAGTCGTCTAGAAACTCGATTCTTAGTTGAAGCACTCCTTTAACTAAGTCCATAAGAACTCTCTCTTGTCTGAGAGACTGAGAATCTCAACGACCGAAAACTCTGTCGAGTTGTCGTTGTTAGAACTATCCTAGTTCGTAACAATATGACTGAACCAGAACTAGTTTTATTATTGTAGCAGAAGTGTGAATGCTGTCACAATTTGTTAGGCTATGTACTTTCTTAAGTCACTTACAAGATATGTTGTGGAGTCGCTTCATGCAGGGACAAAATTATGAAAGCTCACAATGTGGCCACCAGTCTAATAGGTACTGATGTCTCAGTGCAATTTGATACCATGGATTGGGACATCATTTTTCTAATTAGTCAAATATTCTGACGATCCATCCATATGTTTGGGACTGTCATGCTAGTCACATATATTCTGGATTTTTTGTCAGTCCTAGCTGTAGTGAAGTAGTATGCTTAACTGCTACTCACAATAGTTAAGCACATCTATTCAGGTGGTCATGTTATGATAGTTTCCGACTATAATGAGTGTAGCTTTTGTGAAGTACTACCATTACTGTTAAGCACATGTAGGGTAGGGTTGAATGTTCAAACATGTAGCATTGAACTTCCTTAAAATGGCTCAACCTCACAATTTTCAATGATAGCCCATTATTACCTCAGTTCTCTGAATGTTGCTGTATTCATCTGAGGTGCAAATATACTTTAGTTTCACCACAATCATTTTTATGAATAAGTATGATCATCTGCCATTACAAAGACAGTTTGTGAGGTGTAATATGTTCTTCATGATTCCACAAAGATTATACAGAGCACATGGTTTGTGTTCAATTCCTGTTACACCATTCAATAGGTGAATGAAAATTTGAGCCCTCACTAGTAGTTATTTTTTTCCCGATCAACCATCATAATATTAAGAATCATGAGATTACATGTAAGATCACATTTCTAAGCAATCAGAGGAGATCTGGATGTAATATGCCTGTGATTTATCCTGCCTACAAGAAATTACAAATATGGTCAGTGTATGATGCTAATATCTTGACCCTGCGAAAGACTGAGTGGCCATTGATATGAAAAGTGTCCATAGTTTTCAGTATCAGTTCTGCAGATCCATTATGAATAAGAGATGTTCCAGTGAACAGTGTAACACTGGAAGCACTCATACTTCATTTTCATATTTATCCACTGCTTCTCATGAAACAAGACAGGGGATTTGTTCAATATATGCCTGTCCTTGCCAAAAGATTGCTTCAACGCAGTCCAGAATTTCATGGCATATATAAACACATTTTCAACAAAGCGATTGATGACAGGGACTACAAGTGTATCAATGGTTGATACACCAGCAAAGGGCAACACAAAATCAAATATATCACTAAAAGGAATGTTTTTGCATGTTAGAGCTGATCAAAACTAAATTTGAATAGAAAAATACAGCTCGATGAGGCACTTTAATGCATTGACACTGTCAGGTCCTCTTCCTGTTGAGCCACATGTGCATACAACTAAGCCACAGATACAGGGACTCATATTTCCTGCCTTGTTAATGTTACAAATTGCCTGTGTTGCAAGCTTTATGTGCCATGGTTGAATGCCAGTCTCTTGCATATGCAATGTGTCTAAATACTGGACCATATCGAAATTAATTGTAACTAATGCCAACAGAAGTCAGAACTAGTGGCAGAGGGGTGGTAAGCTATCCAAGATTGCAGCAAGCCATAAACAAAACTACATCAAGCTCTGAGGGAGGGAGGACTTTGGGCATTACTCCAACTATGGAACAAAACTGCCAGGAGACATAGTCACTGGCAACATGGGTGGTAGCCAATGCCCAGTCAGCAAGAATGGGATTCATGGGTGGGGAATAGAAACTAGATTATTTCTGACTTTTTATCATGATGGCTTATCAAATATTTAATAATAAGATGTAAGATACACTTGCAGGCCTACCAGTAATGAGGAAACATATGTCTGAGCCTCACCAGTGCAATACATCTCACAGACATAATGACATATGCTTGCTGACACACTGGAGATATTGAGGTAAAAATGACATCCTTAAATTTAATGGTTTGTTGATCACAGATGTCAAATATTAAAGGCTTAACACTTCAACAAATCTACAAATAGATAGACCATGTGTACAAAAGCTATCTAATTGTAGTAAAATGCAGAGGCTGATTCACCAAGATTGCCTGAGCTCTGAGAACTCCTTAGGACTCAATTACATGAAGGACCTAAGTGTACATGCATCCCAGAACTAACAGAGGGGCTAGTGGCTGTAGATGGACCAGGAGTTGCATCTATGGCTCCTAAAAGGGGAGTGCTCGCTGAGACAGTGGCAACCAATGGGCCAGTGGCTGTGGATGGTCCTGGAGTGAAGTTAAAGTACAACCTTTCTATCACCTGTGCCTAGCCCACACTAAGGGGGCAGGTTACTGACAGTGTACTCTTAGGTTATGTTAGTGACGTAATTTGGATTGGGGCATCAGAAGACAGGCCAGCAACATCATAATCCAAGATTATTTCACCATGTTCAAACACGTTGTTATCTACCTCATTGTCCGTGGTTGGGCACACATTCATGAAAACATCTTGCTCTTGCGACAATGAAGGTTCAATAGTTGATGCTGGTGGACTGCAATTAGTGTCGTCAGTGTCAGGATTCATCAAAACATCTTCATTTGCATGTGTTGTCTCACACGATTCATTGCGTGTCAAAGTGTCAGAGGAAATAGGATCCAATGGAACTGGCAATATGAATGAAAGATCGACAGGTGTTGCCATGTTTGGCGTAAAGTGAGAGATTTGAGGCAGAGAATGAACAGATGGTGAAGCAGAGGATATTTCCTTCAGCTGTTTTGATAGACCTCAGCCACCGTTATTCTGTGTTCTTTCAACATAAAATACAATGAATGACTAGGAAGTAATTTACCTTTGGTGGTGAGGTATGTGATGGTGTTTGCTTATGCTTTGTGACCATCTGAGAACTCAGTCCTAGGTCAATGTTATTGTTTTCATTAGCACCACCTATCTCCATGTCGTCAAACTCATTCGCAACATCTGTATCCTCTCCGGTCAGAGATAGCTAAGGTATATTCATATCTGGCATCATGCTAATCATATGGTAGGCAGTGTAGACATCTTATTTGCATACATACCTGGGAATCACAGGTGGTGGAGAGGGTATAGGTTAGAATTGTCGGTTGCTGGTGCCCATGTCTGTATCATTGGCCATCCTGCCAAGAGCATGAAACAGATGAGTAAGAAAGCAAGGGTATGATTCAATATGGACAATTGTGGAATATAAATGTTTTATTCTCAATGCCTCCAGGAACTGATCTTTTTATAAAGTTCTGGGATCCTCGGGAATCACAATTCCATTAACATCTTCATCAAGGTCGAGCATTGTGAGTTGTTGAAATTGTAGGGGCATCGAAGGTTCCAAGCTTCACGAACACCTGTGTATTGCCATGTTCAAATGCTATCCTAGTCCAAATATTCCACTCCATAAGCGTGGAAGGGAGCACATTTGCATCTAAGTCTTCATCGTTGATCTGAAATATGTAAGCATTTGGATCTGTACATTATGAAGAATTAACCACACCATACGCTATATATTTATTTAATTTTAGCAAAGATGACAGGAAAAGAACATATAACTCACAGAGTAGGACGATTCAACATCTGAATCATTGTGAATCGACATGTCCTCCTCATACTCACCTGGCACTTCAACCAACATTTGTGACATAATGTCACGTTTCTGTGTTTTTTTTTCACCGGCTGTGATATTTTAGAGGTGAGTGTCTTACATTAAATGACGGAGAATCACTGACAACATCTGACTTGTCAGTGAAGGACTCAATAGCACTGGAGGAGTCTGATTCATCCTCATTAATGTCTGGCAATGCTGTACATACTGCCACCTCTCTTCCCCCTTTGCCCTTGCCTTTTACCTCAACATTTAAAGACTGAGATGGCGACAGGTAAATTTTAGCATGATTATTTGCAGAATAACGAATCACTCACAGCTGAGAGTGGAATGTCTAGCTGATCATCACTAGAACTTTCCAATTCATCCTTGGCATCTTCGGATGGAAATAACACTGCTGCCATGTTTTGCCTTTCCTTTCCCTTGCTATTGTTGGTGGCCTTTCCCTTCCCTTTCACCAACTTTGACTTACGTAGTGCTCATCAACCTTTTGGTGATTTCTTTGCATCCTCCTGCTGCTTAAATGTATTTGCTGTGTGTGTTATATCACTCATCTGCGTAGAGTCAGTAAAATGATTTCGGGTCTGCAGACTCTTGTACCTTGTGGTCAGACTCCAAATCTAGTTTGAGAGTGCCTTTCTCAGCATCCGATGCAGAACTGTGATCAGCATCATCTTTATTAACATGTTTTAATTGAAGTACAGCTGGTGTTTTGGACCGAGGTGATTGACTTATATGACCCTTGCATTTCTGTTCCAAACCATTTTTGGATGCAGCCTCCTCAGTATTTTTTGGGTCACTTGGCTTCATCCTTAGTTGCCCCATACTTGCAAGCAGAGTGTCAATCATGTCCTCCTTGCTTTTTGTGTGTGGGAACGAGCCACTGCACATATCTTCCACATCTACACAGAATGCCTAGTGTAACATTTTGTATGTCACTATATATCGTGTATGTTAAGTATTAATACATGAATGATATTTATTTAAAGAACTTATGTGATTGAACCTTTCTGTAAACTTTTTTCTCTTTGAACTGAGCCCATGTCTGATTCATCTTCTTTAAGGCAATATTGTGATGTGCCACAGTAAATGCATTGTTGTGTAATGCGAGGGTGATGTGAAATTTGAGATGGGCAGAGTGCCACTTTGATGTAATACCTTTGGGTCCCTCTTGCTTTACCTCGCTGACGAATGCATTAAGAACATCACCCATGTATGATCCGAGTAGTGTTGCTGCGGCTCCGGCTTGTTGCCAGTTCTAGCCGCGGCCTGAGCTATAAATAGCTGAGTTGACAAGTGGTTACAGCTTGTATAATTATGGTCCGGCTCAGCTCAATTAGTTATAGCTAAGTCAACTTAAGGGCTTAAAACCAACTCAAATATATTTTTAAATTATAAGCCAAAAATAGATGTTAGAATTCAGAACCTTGAGAACCGCCACGAGAACTTAGAGAAGCAGTGTCGATCGCACCAATTCACAACGCGCTTCACATTTACAAGTCACATTATTCATATCAATGGGTCCACAAGACAAAGTGAGTGATTTCGATAACATTCAATCAAAAACTAAATAAGTATCTAGTTGTACAGTAGTGCTACTTGTGCACGAAGAGTATGAGAACAGCGCACATCAGTGCAAAACATGCAGAGACCCATTGAAAGGTGGCAGGGAGTTGAGAGAGTTGAGAGAGTTGCTGAAATACAAGGAGAAGGGGAAAGGATCGTTCAAATGACTTGGAGATGCAGGTGGGGACGTTACTTCAAGAGGCTTTTATGTCGCAGTCACAGTAGTGGGAATTAGTGTCGAGGTGGGAGGTTTGTGTTGTGAAGGATATGCATGTTGGAATAGACGTTTGCGATATGTGATTGAGACATGAATTGATGTTGTTACTGGCGAAAATGAAAACGACAGACTCACTGTATGTGCAAACGGTGGGCAACGACTCTGAGCAGCACAGCTCGTGCTCGAAGGAGGGTCGACAGACTGATGATCTGCAAACGGGGGGTAATGACTGGGATCAGTGTGGCTCGAGTTCGAAGGAGGGACGACAGACTTGAGCATGCAGATGATGGGACAAGCTCTAAAGGTGTGACATCAGTTTTAACAATCTGTATTGTATGATTGCAAAACATACTTTTAATGGAGATCATGAAGTCTCTGAATGTGACACTGATAGTCTCGGGCTTGAGGAGAAGTCGGTCACTGGACTGGTATATTTGAGGATATCGCCGTTGAATAGCATTCAAGGCTGCCTCCATGCACAAGGCCTGTAGCTAGGTGAGTATCATGACCAGCATATGCGGTCATATTCACATACCCGAAGATCAGCACCACCGTAGCCCTTCGTGAACTTTGCAAGTCCCTTGATATTCTCTGGTCGTCAAAATACGTTTACGAGCCTCCAGAGATGGAAGGGGAAAGTAAAACTCCCTGTCAAATCGACCAGGTCTTCGTAGCACAGGGTTGATGGCATCTGGACGGTTGGTGGCACCTATGACTATCACCTGACCACGTCCATCCATACCGTCCATCAATGCAAGAAGTGTTGAGATGATCGAAGCATGGATCTGATCCTGCTTCGATGACCGGACGGGTGCTAATCCATCAATTCCATCAAAGAAGATGATACTCAGTTGGCAGTTACGTGCTTCCTCGAACAGAAGACGAAGTTGGTGTTCAGCCTCACTGACGACCATCTGTAATGCTTCCATCAAAATGGGGCTGAGGCGATTCCTTTTTTTCGCATGGGTTTCACTACTTGATGAAAATACCCATTCACATGGCACCACAGAGGCTTGTACTGGGGCATAGTCCATAGCAATCAAGTATATAGTGGGGAACATGGACTGTGAAGCCTAGTCAATAGCTCGTGGTCAATAACATAGGGTGTGCCTTGAAGGAATGGACTCACATTCCAAAACGAAAGTATATCCATTCCATGAGGACTAAGCGTAGCCATAGCATATGCTGTGAATTCTTGATCTATCATTTGGCGCCCGTCGTGGTGATGCACATGTGCATGCGCCCAGGGAAGTCCATAGCGACGTGAGCCTAGTGTGCGTGCCACCGTTCGTGGAACCACTACAGGTTGAGAATGTGTAGAGTTTTCCGCTCTCTTACTCTGCATCTGCGGAACGAGTCAATCCAATGTTGTGCTTTTGTTTACTACAGAGACGTACCAGCTTCAATATAAACTCCTTTGCATCATCAACACGGTCCTTCTTCCATCAACTGTCCATCCAAAACATCCGCATTGCAGGATCAATGACTACAAAAGTGATCATGAAATCAGCATTTATTAGGACAAAAGATGGGACTGACACATAGCGACAGAATAAGCATGAGTTGCACCCATCCGGTCGGTGTATTTTTGCTCGCCCAGAATAAGTCTATGTCAACGATAGGCTTACAGTGAGGTGCGTGCAGGCCAATAGACTCCCAGCCATCAACCAACTCTTCAAAAGTTGGAACGGCATGGCTGAGCACAGGAGTGCGTTCACTGGAGAGTTTTTGCTGGGCGGCGTGGGGTGCCTGGTATGAAATGGTAAATTAGATCACAGGCTTCAAAGTTCGAATGCATTAGTACTTACCTCCAAGATCACTTCCAGGCCCTGGAGGAACTGCCAATCCATCTCACACAATTTTTATCAGATATGCTACGTTGAGCCCAAGCATCGAAAAAGGCGGTTACTGCCTGGGCCAGTATTAGTCTACAACATATGTTTAACGGTGCGAAATCTTACCTGGCGCAGTGTCCGCAAACGGTTGATCATAACATAGACTGAATCCCATCTAGTAGGCTCATCGAGGAGGAGTTCTATGACCGGGAGCTGTGTAAGCTCGCCATTGTCGTCTCGAAACCACCCTCCCTCATTACCCCTAACGATGGTCTCACGAAACCTGTCGCGCCGCTGGTTTGATGTGCGGACCAATCGCATGATGTGCCTGGCTCACTCGAGAGGCTTTGCCTCCACAGCCTGGACATAATCGACTTTCTTGATGATCTGATCTTCGACTATCCATGTATCGTCCACAGTGGAATAATTGGCAGTAGAATATTCATCGATGATGTGCTTCACGCATATGTTTATCACGTGCGGGAAACACGGTATCCTATGTTCAATAGGATCAAACTTGATCCCGCGTTCCCCAAGCAGGCTGGAAAGCTCCTGCATTACAGTGTGATTGTTGCCCGTGTTGTCGAGAGTAAAATGTCCAGTCTGAACAATGTCAGAGCATGCGACATGATAGAGATAAGTACCGACCTTGGCTGCAGTTTCTGCACAATCGAGGAGATATAGGATCACAGAACCGAGAGATTGGCTGTCATGGTTGCTGGGAACGTGGTGGAAAGCAATGAGGGCGGTCTTTAACACGAGCATTGAATCTTGATTGGCCCTGGCAATCCAGTGAGCCATAATGGCCATAAAAGGCCGGAGCTTTATATCTGACCACAGATCAGATGTAAAGCAGACTTTTCCCTGCGCATTCTAAAAGAAATAAGGTACTTCGTATGAGGCTTGGCAACTATGCACTTATGGCAAGATCCCGCTTCAAGGCCACGAAGTATTCCTGCCATTGCTCGATGACCATTTCATGAGCCTTCATGCAGTGAAATAGGCCAGACTCGCCAATTTCTGGGCGGAGGAGACGGATGAGGTGCCTGAATTCAGGGCACTCGATCATGTTTATTGCCTGGAGGCAATTATTAATGGTGGCTGTAGGCATGAACTGCGACTCACTTGATCATCCGCGACAATAAACTTCACAATTTGACGATGCATTTCATCAAGCGTGAAGTCCGGAATTCTGTCTTCTGGAGAGCTTGTTCCTACCAGCAAGGCACCAGATCCCTGGTTAGGGGGAGGACCAAGCGATTGCATTGTGCAAGGTGATTTCTTGAGCTGTTCGCGAATTGTCGTCAATGACCACCCTTCAGCAAGGCATTCATTTAGATCCTTGATCTGTATGCACCAGCCAAAACACTTGGCTGCTTCGAGGTAAAGTTTGGTGTGGTGAGTGAAAGCATGCGTACGGGGAGCTGAGCTGGACGTTGAGCCTGCGTATACCATGACCTTGTGCGTTGCGTCGATTTCATGAAGTGTTCTAGTGAAGGGCGTGAGAAACAACAAAAGATTGCAGATAAGATACTTACTCACAAGCAATACAGGTTTTGCTCTTGGTGTTGGTATCAATCTGGTAGAAGTGACTTATATCAGTCAGCCCTTTAGTCTGCTTGAGGTTGCCGGTCACCAAAGGGTCTGTGTGGACGGTGCTGGTGACAGTCTGGAGTGGGCTTGAATTAAAGCCTGCAGGTGCCACAGCGGTGGGTGCAGGAAGATTGCCTGGTTCCTCTTCATCCCCTGAAATATTGTCCAGGTCGAAGACTTCACCCTCATCTGGACCAGCACAAGCTGCATCGGTTCTGTATCTAACAGGAAGTTGTCGCTGATGTGGGTTTTGAAGAGTAGTAGCGTTTGCTGCAGCAGCAGCAGGAATAGCAGCTTGGATAGCTGTGGGGACGGCAACGGGAGTGAGGATGGCAGTGAGGATAGCGGATGCAGCAGGGATAGCAGCAGAGGCAGTGGGGATAACAGCATCAACATCAGCTGCCCGGGCCTTGTTCTGCCCACGTCGACGAGGTGACATTTGTGGTAGTAGTGGTGACATTCGAATGACAGAACCGTCTGTCTATATAGGTGTGTTCTTTCCGGGAAACCCCAGAAAACGACAACGTGCACGAGAAGTCATATAGGCCAAAGCCGATGCGAGAATTGAGTCATTTACATCTGAGAGCGAGAAGTGAACAGTAAAGTGTGACGCACAAGTTTGGCGCCTGTCGGATGACTGGCCAGTGACAGGGTGTGGGTGCAATTGGTCTTCTTCATCTGATTTCCGTCAATGAATGCTTGCAAACCGCTATAATTTGGTGGAGGTGAGGGTGGGGGAAATCTCACTCAATGAAGGACATACCTGAAGTGAATTGGCTCCGTGTGGTTCTCTATATCACCGTGATCAGATAGATAGCTTGAGTAACAAACAGCTTACCTTCATCTTCAGGGTTTCAATTGCGAAGCAGTTCCACCAAAAGGTTAGCGATACATTAGAAAAAGGTCCCCCCTGCAGCCTCACATGTAGGTGCAGATCAGTGACTACCACTCCTAAATTTTAATCACCACACGGCGCAGAGTACAATTTTATGATCAATACAATAAGAATTGGTTGGATGAATCAATTACCTTGCACAAGAAGTACAATTGCAATAGTCGCCTGATCAGTGGCTGCCTGTGTGAAAGTGGTTCAAAACTTTGGTGGTGAATAACCATAAGTGCTGAGACCCTCACCTTGGCGATCATCGATCATCAACCACATGTTTGATCAGCACGAGCAAACGTGATGGCAAGATATATAGTATTCTGGGTGAGTGAGATGATGGTATGGCGCAAAGATCGAAGGCTGTGCACTGCACAGCACGTTGAAGGGAAAATGGTTTGACCTAGACCAATTAGTAATTAGTAATTAGTAATCACCATGCTGAAAGCGATGCACAATTACACATGATGATGCATTTGAGGCTGAGCTATTCATATCATAGCGGTGGCGAGCGCCAGTCCCCGACTCTGTTAGCCCTTGATCAGGACTCACGCTCGGCAATGCCTCAAACCCAGTGAGAACTGGACCTCACCGTATCGATGGAAAACGGCCAAAATATTGATGAGCCACAGATGTAAGATTTCCGTAGAGAATGGGACTTATAGTCGATTTTCTAGTGACGCTAACTTCAACCAAACTTTTTCATATTCTTACTTACACAAAGTTGGTGTCTACACTTCACGGCCTTGTCGTACCAGCCTTCTTTCCTTCGACAGTCTCAGTTGTCAGACACCTCCATGTCTCTTGCTTCTCCATCGCTCACATCAACCTCGTGCTCATTCTCGAGCTCCTTCCCAGTAAACATTTTCTTGCTGGCGGTGGATCCTTCAGGCTCATCAACTGCCTAGTAGTCTACAACAGCGTTATCCAGTAACCGGTCGCGATTTCCGCTGTGGAGTTGACGCAGCACACCATGCGGAGCCATTACACAGGTGTGACCTTGCAAATAAGTTTAACTTCAGTTCGAAGATATAGAACAAACATTACTCACACACAAGTCGATCTGCGCACTACCTTTGGCGGACATGGTGACATTGCTTCGGCCACACAGCACTGGTCAGGTGATAGAGGGGGAGGTATGGCAGGACCGTCAGGTTGGCTGAAATCCAACATGCACGTAGCTGGTGCAGGCAATGTGGCATGAAGACCATTAAGTAATGAGCGGAGGTGATCGTAATCAGGATCTTCTGCGAATGCAAGAGAGCAGGTGTAAATAAGAATGTTGGCGAACTCAACGGGGATGTCATGACATATATCTGCAATGGTAGCACGTGCTTTGCACTTGAGTATGGTAGAGTTGGACAACTTCTCGTTGTCGCTTGTTAACCATGGAAGGGAGCCACGTAAGAAATAGATTAACATGTATGTGAGCGACTCAAGATCATCACGACGACCTGGCTCAACTCCTAAGTGGTTGTTGATTGAGGCGAACGCAGGAGTACCAGAGAGACTTCGGCCATGGCAAAATGGCACATGGTCACTGGTTGTGGTGTTCTAGTACATCTTTGTGATACCAAAATCGATGATGAAGGCGGTGTGCCTCAGATTTCCAAGACCGACCAAGATGTTCTGCGGTTTGACGTCGCCGTGAATGTAGTTGTGCGAGTGAATATATTCAAGACGTGAGAGCTAGGAAAGTCAGTCGACCTATCTACAAAGACCTCAAACGGAATGACTGACCAACTGGACTCCTAGATTCACAACATTGAGAAGGCTGAATCTTTGATTGTTTGCGAGGAAGAGTTGGTGGAGCGATGGCCCAAGGAGTTCAAGAACAAGAGCATGATACACTGACTCTCTACTGAACCAGAGGGTGCGGGGGATGCCAACTCCGCCTTCAAGTTGTTTCAAGATCCAGTATTCACGCTCCACAGAAGATGAGTGGTCGACAACGGTTTCGAGTTTGAGGGCAACATTATCATCATTGATGATATTCCGTGCAGAATACACGACAGCTAAGTCATACTATATGATGTGAACAATAAATTTGAATACATTACTACATACCATAGGAGCCAGATCCTAAAACCTCTCCCAGCCTAAATCTACCATCTACTCAAACCGGGACCTTATTCATGGTAACTTACAGTGAATCCAACTGAATAGTGAGGACAATGGGGAGAGGGAAGTTGGAGAAATGAGTTCGCCATGCAACCCCCTTCAGCTGGCTTGAGGCCAGCTCAAGCCGTTGTTCCCACATTCTTGGCTTGTGCTATCTGGTGCCGGTTTAGGTGCCTTGCGGACCAGACCGAGTCGCATGTGAGTGACTTGGTTCATGGGAATAGCCGAACTGCTGGGAAGTCGGTAACAGCTGAGACCGTACCAGCCAGAACTGAGCCGTGACACTACTAGATGTGAGAGACAAATAGAATCAGACTGCCTGGCGTTGATAGCAGACTTGGGAAGCTTGAGCAATATAGAAGCGATCTCATGATACATAAGATGCTGATGGGCCAGTACATCAACACAATTTATACACTTTTCCAGAATCGTCACCTGACATATAGATAATCAGTAGCACCACTGAATGTTGAATTAAAACTGACCACATCATCAGCATCACTAATGAACAACATGTGCTTGTTGTCACTCTGCTTGATTATGGGGAATGTACTTAGAATACGACTGATGTCATTCTCAGAGCAAGGCTTTATCTCCAAAGCAATCGGGTCAGACATTGGGAAGGCCATGGTTGAGTGAGAATTCAATTGTGTGGCATGGTTGATTATTTGGCCGATAACATCTGAATCAAAAATAGATCCACATGTCTGTCACATGCCATCAATTATTTTCATCTTTCTAACTTCAAATCCTCATCCTGATTCCAATTCCAATCATCAAGGTGTAGTCAGAAACAATTTTAAACATTGGATATGCTTTTAGCGGATCACTATGAGATGGATGGCAAGTACACTGTGGAGGTTGTTTCAGGAGGCAACACAGCAGTACAATCATTGGCACCAGCGCCATCCCCAGCACCAACACATGTATCAGTGGCGTCAAAATATCCTGCCAGGATGCAGACACCACCTGCAGCTGTGATAGAACTGGCCAAACCTGGTTTACAATGTAACCCAAACTGACATTCATTAAATGCCCCTTACATTAAAATGACTCCAATTAGACGGTCCTGATGGAGATTGATGAAGAAAATCGTAAGCCAGTGATTTTGAAGAACTTGAAAGAGAAAATGAAGAATTGTGTGATATCTAGCACTATTTGCACACCAGACTATCATTGATATTCTTTTCAGGGCTGTATTTATTGTCATAACATTGGATCATACATTTGGAGGTGCATTCAGCCAACTTGTTGTATCCTAGTTTGCATCAGTAAGGGTCAGGGCAACTATGGATGTATTGATTGCTTGGAAGATTAGCACTCAGAGCAAAGCAAGGTCACGGAACAGACCTTTAAATGCCCTCAATGTCATCGCGCTGCTAATGAAGTGATTCAGGTGAGTGTATTGGTTTTGATATTGTGTCTATGTTGCATGATATTGATATTTGAAAAGTACAAGGTACAGGGATATTCAGTCAGACAAGACTACTTATATTGTAATTATTTCCCACTTCTTGCGGTCTTTTTGTTGTGGAGTAGATTTGGGAGCCCATATGCCTCCAACATAGTCCAATCAACACTCAGGGAGCACTTTCGAGTGAGCCCAACTAGGGTACATGATGAATATGTATTAAAGCTCATTCTAATATGTTTACTGAATATTCACAGCTTTGTATAGCAACATGGGCACTGAAAGCTTGCAACAGTAGTCCAAGCGCCATGACACCACGAATGGAAACTCTTGGCCATACTCAATGATGCATGAGAAACTGTGCCATTCCACCATGATCAACCAATAAGTCCTGGTATTAGATCATCATCTTCACCATTCCAAATATCTCAAGAAATTCATTGTGACTTCTTGCCATGATGAGAAGCCCATTCTTCATAAGATTCTCCAACGATTCGGTGTGATTTAATCCTTGGATTTCTCGCAACCACATGGCAATGTGGCTGGAAGGCCATCTACCAAACCCGCCAACAAGACCTCCCATGCATGTCCACTGAGAGTCCGCAGAGCAATCCTTTTGCAATTTTCATCAAAAGGAAGCAGAAATGGTGGAAATGGATCTGATGGCTAGGAGACATGGATAACCATTGAGTAATACAATGTACAGTGAGAGAGACATACCACATCTGCATTATTCAACTCAGTTGCTATGGGAGGATTTGAATCATCCATATCAATAGGATTTATAGGCTCGATAGCTTATTCTAGGTCTACTTTGGGATGAGGTGGATCAAGAGAGGTATCAATCACCTTGAGCAAGTGCTGAACATCCTCACCACCACCACCACCAGTCTGCACTGTACCACAGCAATCATGCTTATTGCATTCCTTATTGTGATAAAAACACCAATCAACTATTGTGCATGTCAGTGCTGGTGATACTTAATGAACACAATACGAACAAAAAACAAGAATGTCAGGACATATTGCATCCTGTAGGCATTTGAAGGTGATACCATGGGTTTCTTCCAAAGCTCGACGACACCCAGCATGAAAGCCATCAACTGTGTGATTCAGCCATAGATAGTAGTCAAGTATTGGAGACCTGAAGTCGCCATACAATGCATCTGGGGATCTTGAAGCATCCTGCATAGATACAATTCGGACATTGTTCATGTAGTCCATGATCAACAGATATGTATCATGCTTGTGAAGAGCATTTGTGTGGGGTGAAACATCGAGATGGGCCACAATCTGCCTGTAAAGACCAAATTTTTTGTTTAGTGCATGAAGGGGCATATGATAGTGTGGAGCAAGAGGGCAGCTTTTCCGTGGCAGTTCGAACAACTTGAAGGCACATTCTCCATCAACGTCTTGAATCGTGCCTTTGCACTTCATCAAGCGATGCATATCTTGTGGACTCCATCGACGGACCAGATACAGCAGATTCATGGAGAGTGACATGTGGTCATCCCATGGCAGGCATCAATCACACCTAGGGTGATCTATCTCAGAAGCAAAAAGCTGTAAAATCGGTTCCACAAAGTCTTTCAAGCTCAGAAATTAAAAATCATGTTCGGATTGGCGCTAATCACATCATGTTCAATTAAAAGGTTTGAGGTAAGCTAGTGTAGTACCATACTATATTTGAAGCCAATGGATTCAGAGAAAATGCCATATGCAATCCGTAGTCATGAAAATTAAGGTTTACATGTATTTGTTTTAGCCTCTTGCCATAATGTTTGGGATAAAAATTTCTTCAGCATGAATGCAATAAATTAGAGCATGCATCTACATGTTGCAATTCTGTTTAGTGGCTCGGGAGTAATGTAACATGCAAACCTTGAGCCAGTAGGTTTACACATTCCAAAAATGATGGATTAGATTGACACACATTGTATTTTCATTCACAGAGAAAAGATCTGTATATCCAAAGCAAGGTACTATACCACCATGTGTTTACAAACCAGGCAGTAGTATCATTGAACAAAATCACCAACTGTAGACATCCCTATTGACTACAAACTGTCAGTCCATCCAGCCAGAAGTTTGCCAAGAGTCATTGCCTCATCCAGAAGTGTCTTTATCTTGATTAAGGATAGCACTATTTCCAACCACTCTGCAATGCCCCCCTCACCAAATGGGCATCATCAACATTGAGAGAAAATCTGTGTTGAATTTCACAGCATTATAATCGTATGGTAGACGTGCCTTCATTTTCATATCCATCTTCTGAGCAACAGTTTCCAAGCAAGATTTGTTGAACCACTATTTGAATGTCCTACAGTAATGCTGCAGATGATTTGGGGATGAATATGACAGATCACACGAATTATAGCTGCAGTATGTGGATGCCTGGGAGTTCTAGTAATTGGACTCATTCTCACTTGTTTCAATTGCTTGTCTCGACTCATTTGCACTTGTCTGCATTTGTTTCAACTTTTTCGTGCTTGTTTCAACTCATTCACACTGGTATTGACCCATTTGCACTCATTTGCACTTGCATCGACTCATTATCACTCATCATCTAATGCCGCCACTCATTTCATATATTGCACTGCTTGTGCATGTAGACTCAACTCTGGATGTGGGACTCATATGTTTGTTGGACAAGGTGTGTGTGTTTTTTTCTAACATTACATGCACAGCTCACTTGACAGGTACAGTCATATACGGTAAATAGACTAAATGATGGACAGCGCACGAGCTGACCATGACATGTCATTCCCATTCTCTGTTTAGATATACTCGCACTCAATGTCCTCTCCTCCGGCTCTATCCTTTGGCCAGTTGCTGCATCTCTCCCTTGGCTCTTGTCCCTTCAGCTTTCTCTCCTTCAGATTCATCGGATCCCAACATCCACTCCTCCTTCTTGACACCTGTGCCATCCACATATGTTTGAGTCACGTCAGCATTCACTGATGTGTGCTGGACATATATGCTAAGCACTCATGACTAACCTGCAGGTTTACCCTCATAGGGTTATTGATATCTGGAAGGAAAACCTGTACACATACCTGTACCCACACTGCGGATATGGGTACGGGTCTGACTGTGCACACCCAGGGGTATACCCACACAGTTCCCTATATATAATATCAAGGTCTGAGTTGCAGGGAGGCGAAGAAGGGAGTGAATTGAGTGATTTGCAGGCTGTGATGGGGACAATGAATGAATGGTATATATCACGTCAACAAGAGAATACTAGAACAACACTGGCACTTGAGTACAGCAAATACTTACAGTCTGATGAAGGAAGACAATACTATCAATATTCTTCAGGAAATCCTGAAGTCCAAGATCCCTGACTGGGACCCACATGGTTCAACAATCATGGAGATTGATGGGTTTAAATACAACAATACATTCCAAGATACATGGAATACTGATGATGACAATGATGGAGGACTATTGGCAGCAATGAGTGACTGCAAAATTGTGGATGAAGAAGGTCCTCAAATTGAAACAAGTAAGAGACAATGAGGCAGGCTAAGAAAACGAGTGATACAGCATTGTGTATACATGTGCATGACCCCTATCTATATGGCAATAATGTTTGCTTGTAGGTAGTAAAAATAACCTGTATGTTGCACCCCGCTAGTCCTGTACCTAATCATTTGCCAGCACAAGTGGATGTGGTATGCCATCTCTTAATTAATAAAACAATCTTTGCTACATATGATATATTTTAACAGGATAATATGCAAGAGAATGATATGAGAACTGATATACTGGAGCAAATCATTGACTCTGGAATCCTAGATTGGAATCCTCAGGAGTCATGGACTGCACAAGATACCATGTATGATGGTGTACCACAAATAGTTAATAGTGTTGAGGAACAGTCAGAGGTGAGGAAGGGTGGTACTGCAGATGGTCAGGAGGATGTTAGACAAAGGAATAAGCCCCATCGAACACACAGGTGGCCACTCAAGAAAGCTATCACCTGGAGTTAGTCCCTAGACTTAACCATGATTGTTTGGATGTAAATGACATTTCATTACAGGAAAGAAACACAAAACACAAACAGTCATAAACCATGATAATAGTGTTAGATCTATCATACGTGCCATAAGTAACCCTTGTCAGCAAGAATCTCCGGTGGACATAGTTGCAATTTACTCTAATACTCAATCTAAAAGAGCAGAAGAATCAAATCACAATGTAAATAGGATACATATGGATGAGATGGAGTTCAGGAAAGATACATCAGGTCAACAACATCTGGGAGATCCAAACAGGCATATCAAGTCTCCACAAGTTATTGGTTGGTGATCCAAAACTCTCTATCGAAGGTCATATAACAAATTTAAATTTCAGCATCCAAGATGAATCACATGCAGAAAGTTATTTCAAGTGTTGTCCCAGTGTACAAGGAGGAGGATGATGATGATGATAACAACAAGGATGATCTATGTAAGTTTTAGCTGTGATCTTTTGTTGGATGTGTAGAGGGTTTTGAATATCTACTAATTTAGTGTATTAAGGAATCCAGCACCATCTGAGACATCAAACAAGAAGGCACTAACAGATCACAAATATGAGCCTACACCATCACCGCAACCTGCGTTAAAATCACCATCAATTGAGGGACAACAGACTATATTAATTGAACCTACAGAGGATGAAATAGCTTGTGAGTTTCCATCAATATGGGATAAATAGATACATGGATCTAACTGAATCACAGCTCATGTAATGGCTCAACCAATTATTTGGATGTCTGCATGGCTCAATTAGAAAACTCTTAGACTAAATGAATGGCTCGATGCGACAGTAGCAAACTTTTATTTGTCCAATGTGTGGTATGAGATGCTGAGCAGGTTGTGCACCAGATATGTGAACTTGTATGCAGCCATAGTGAATAAGATGGTGGATGAAGAACTGGAGGTCTTCAGGCGGAATCATTTCTTGCCTCAGAGAGGGACATGTCCCATGGTCCCTGTTAGATTCATAGTCCATTATTCTGATCACTTCTTCACAGTCATCTTTGACTATCAGCGATGCACAGTGTATATCCTGGGTTGCCATATTTCTGAATCAGCCATGGATGTTGATGGAGTGGATTTACATAACTGGAATGGTTGGAGTGGGCCACAATACTGGAGGAGAATTGCATTACTTCATGGCTGGAGTTAATGTATTGAGGTCCAGAAATAATAGGCACTTGTCCATGGTTACCTTATTTGGCCATACTGTGGCCGCCATCATTGTTCCCTATATATACATTCACACTTGGCCTTCAACTTTTCCCTCCAAATTTTATACCCACCACTGATATCTAGTATTTACCTTTACCTTTTTCCTTCATCAATATATCATCTGCCGAGAATGCAAACAAGGCTTTAAACCTTGCAGCTGAGAAGATTTTGCAACTGGTCAAATGGTTGCAAAAAATGCCTGAAGACACTCTGGCTTTAAAAAAGATGGTGCATGAGATTACCATAACTTTGGTAAGTCACTTGCTGGTTTTTTACTCATCTTTTGAAATTTGATGACCGGTTTTGTCTTTAGGCAACCACATTTGCCCAACACGGCAATGCCACTACTTTGCTAGTGCCCATACTCTTGTCCTGCACTGCCAAAATCCAGGACAAGAGTGCACCCAATGGCAGGCTGAGAACCTTACCTGATTGGTCTGTCATTTCAGATGACGACCAACAGATTCAGGGCCATCCTTTGTATGGCAAGACCCTTGGGTACCGACACCAAGATTCGCACAATGCACTGCTAGCAGGACCTGCCATCCCCCACCCAGTGCTGTATGTCTCGCTGCCACCACCACTGACAGTTGTTGCCCCGACTCCAGTGCCTTCCCCCCACCAAGCACAACCTCTTTGTGTCCAGAAATACGAAGAAATGAAAGGCCACATCATCTGCATCGGAGCCAGAATCGGAGGTCGAGGTTGTTCAACCCCCACTGGTATTGCTGAAACTGGGACCTATAAGTAAAACCAGGCTGGAGGCAGGCAGGGTGCCACCTAGACCTCGCCCCCGAAAGAAAGCAAAGTCAGCTAAGTTCATGTAAGTGTTTCTTCCCTGTGTCTATTAATTTACTAATGACTGTTCAGAAGAAAATTGGCCATAGTGTGCAACACGAACCACCGATCAAGCAAGGAACATCCCTTGCCAACAAGGTATGTATTGGTCCGGTGTGAAGAAGTAATAGTGACTGGCTAGCAAGAAAGCTAGAGCGCTAATAAATCCAACTGAGTGCGGGTGTGCTGTCTTGACCCAAGAGGATTGCTCTGAAGCACTTCCTTCAAGTATAATGTGAAGAGAGCAAATGCAGAACAGAAAAGAACTAAGGCGATCTTAGAAAAGCGAGTCCACTGATAAGAGTGAAAGTGAGAGGATCCTAGGTAAAGAGTGGCGGGTTCTAGGTAAAGTGCAGTTCCGCTCATAGCAGCTAGGTATAGACAAGGTTTATGGCTGAGGTATAACTAGGTAAGAAGTGCTAAGTCATCTGGCAAGGTCCGAAAAACCTGTCAGACCTGTGAAATCAAGCAGATCTGATGCGAGCATCTGGCTCCAAAAAAAGTGGCTGTTACAGGCAAGCAAGCCAAGGCTTTGGCTGCTGCCAATAGCAAGGCTGAGAAAGCCAAACACTCTCATGCCCCTCCTAGAGGTCGATTGAAGGCACCTGTGGGCACCTGCTCAACCCATTCATTATCTCGAACACAGCACCCATCACCCGCTGACATTGTACCCTCCACCAAAGACACTGAGAATGAGGATGCCAATGGTGAAGAAGATCCAGAATATGGCAAGTCCTTGGATTTACTTCCTAGCTCAGTATTCATGTCTTGCATCAAAGAGCATGTCATTGTTTCTTGTGAATGCGCAGATAGCCATAGTAAGAGGGGAGGAGTAACATCGCAAACTGCAGTGGGAGTAGAGAATTGACCCTGAAAGTGGATGTGGCATGATACAGGGTATTCTCAAGCCATTTCCAGCTAGTCTTTGGTTTCTTGGAGAGAGAGTATGTTGATCCTGAGCTGACTATGTGTATAGTAGCGAGATGTTGGAAGAGAGGGCCTGTATACTTGAGCTCTGCATTGTCTGGAGTGGCTGCTATTTGTATATAGCGAGACAGGTCAAATTGCAGCTGGAATCAGTTTTTCAGGTGGGGATCATCATGCATGAAATCTCGTTTGATGTCTGAGGAGAATGGGCAAACTGTTTGCATGGCCAAAGACAGGATCATGTTTATGTCCTTTAGGTAAAAATATGTTTTCCCCCTGGAACATGATCTGTACATAATGTCAGCATGTTAGTTGGGGTTGGCAAGCTCATTACTCACATTGAAGGAGGGGTAGGGTGGGGTACAGTCTTTGGAGAGGCACCTTAAATAGTGACTAGAATCAGAAACTGAATAGTTACCTTCTGAGATTGTTGGTTAATGCAGGACATCGTGGTGTATTGTGTAGATGTGGGGATAACAAGTGCGACTAGTCAGAAGTTCAAACTAAAGTCCACTAATGAGATGTTGGTTATAAATATAATGTGTGAGTGCGTATTTTAGTGAGAGAGACGTTCAGAAAGTATGCAGGAATGATGTTTATATAGGGATTGGGACAATGATGGAGTTGGTGTCCATATTACCACAATATTAATGGTTGGCAGTAGAAATCAAAGTGCAGGTCTAGCACAGGTAATTATGTCACATGTTGTGATGTGTGGACTTCCCCTATTTCTGCATATGGGAACATTGGTGATTTGCACACCTGGCATGTCAATTAACAATGTATCAATTATATATAAGTCACAAAATTGTAAGAGAACATGCTAGCAACAAAGAATTGTTGAATTTATTAGAATAAAAGTATGTGTTAGGTTGACCAAGATTGTGAAACCTGCCAGTGAAATGATTGTCCATCTAATAACATTGAGTTAAGACTACAGGGGATGGAGTATAATGATAGAAATTTGTCCATAGTAAGTCACAATGCAGGAGCAGCCAGCATTGCAGTCTAACAAGGATGGTCATGAATGGAAGGATGATGTGTCTACCATGTGTGTGGGATGCTATATGACCCCGACTCTTGCCACTTTCTGCCTTACACTGGCCTTGTGCTGAGCTTACCATTACACCACTTCCTATAATGTTCTATAATGCTTGCAACAACTCCACATCAATCAGCTGCTTCTTATGGCACTACAGCCCAATCTAAGGTCTTCAAGTGTGAGGATGACTCAAAAAATACAAAGATGAGGTCATATACTTTGGGATTTGCCCTGCTGATGGCTTTGGTGTTACCAGACAGGGTGTAGAGTTAATTGCCAAAGGATTTGATGGTGAGTATTATCGCATGCAAGTTTTGCACTTCAAGGAGGTCAAAAATGATGTGACTGGTGGAAGGTGTAGTGAAAATAAGATAGGGATTACCCAACCAAAAGTCTTGGAGCGAATCATTGTTGCAAGACTGTTCTGGGTGATCGAACCTCTTATAGCCTCTGCATAAGGAGCACAATATAGGTTTTTTGATGAATTAATGTATTGTTTTGTGGTAGTGTCTGCAGTAATAGGATACATGCACAAGGTCACAGGTTTGTAAATCTGAGTGAGGCTCGTAAATAGGGAGGGAGAGGGACAGTCCATGCAAAGTGCAATGTCCTGCTTGATGGTTCATATAGGCTTGAAGGCACAAAATCTTTCCATCAATATCACAAGGAATAAGGTTAAAAGGAGGTGGAAGGGGAGTTTCCAATGCTGTGCATCTCTTCCTGAGGGGAATTTCTGTATCCTCATGCAGGTTAGGACTAGAGGTAGATGCTTCATTTCCACCTGGTTGAAAGAGTGTACATATAATACTAGATATATCAGGAGATGGTGTTCCACCGACTGTTGTATCTGTATATGGAGAAGGGGTGTCTTCCAAACCTCTTTTTTGTGGGGTGATGGTTATACTGGGCACTTCGACGTGAAGGAGTATTATCTATGGGCATGTTAGTGTGGAGAGAAGGGTAGTACAGAATTAGGCCTATCTTGATGTGCATTTGAATGTGTGTGTATAAGGCAGCAGGAAGGGCCATGAACAGGCAGCATGCAAAGAGGCAAGAATAGTTCTTCTTGGGTACTGAATTGGCGGTCAATATTGTGCCTGTAAAATCGTTCTGCGAAAAGTTCATGTCGAGGGGTGTTTATCCTACCGAGAAAGTTGATCTTTAAGCATGGATCCTTGTTATGAGTCTAGTAGTGCCTCTGAATATTGCTAGACTGTTTGCCACAGTAAATGCAGCATATGACAATGCTGGTAGGGAAAAACAAGTTGGAGATTGGAGCCATTACTGTGAGGAGATGTACATCCCTTGTGAATTTTGCGAGGAAGATAACTGTTATTGTGGGCCCAGGTCGACAGGGTGCTTTTAAGCACACCAACGGAATCAAATGTTAGGAAACCCTGAATGACATAGGTTCTGGGCATGGATGAAGTTCTGAAGACTATGTCAGAAGCTAGGATGGAAAAGAAGTCGACGTGCCTTGATAAACAGTTCTGGAAAGTATTCTAGATTTATTTATTCATTTGATTATGGTACTTCTCTTAGTAGGTAAGGGATAGAAATACTTTAGATGGCATGAACATAATTATGATAAAGCATCAGTCATCTCGGCATCATTAGTGGAGTGCATCTATAAGTCTTCCATATGAACATTAATAAATTGGTCTTGTTCTACTTGTGTACTGTTCACGTGTGAAGATGGAAGGGCTCTAAATTCTCTGTAGAAAGTGATTACAAAAGAGTGATATCAAGGAATCTTGTCTGCATTGGTAGGTTTGTGCTTGATCCAGGTCTGCAAAGATTTTATGGAAGTAAAGTAGTTGGTGTTGATGGCCAGCCTTTGGGCTATTCTATCCATGTAAGGATTCTTGGTTTGGCCATTAACAACAACCTTGCTCTCCCAAATGACTGTTACAATTGAGGGTAAGATAAAAGGGATTCAGGAGCCTTAGTGACATGACTGGTGATCACTCAAAGCTCCTTGGCATAGTGGAGGGTGCATGTATGGCTCTCAAAAAGATACCCAGCACTTATAACAATACACCCAAAATGTAGTGTCATGGCACTTGGCAGCCGTTGGCAGCCGTTAGGTGCCATTTGGTGTTTCCCACTGACTCAGCAGTATATGCAACTGACTGTATTTACGGTGTCCAGAATGTGCTTCAAGATCCTTAACTCTTTTACTCCAATAGTGTATTTGTTGTTGATTGTAGCCGCGACAGATTTGACAGATGAATGTCGGTTGGCAAGATGGACAGGATTGAGAAAGGATATTTTGAGGGTTAGATCGGTTGAGTGCAAGGAAGGGGTCGACTGGTCTTGGGATAGCCAGAAAGGTTGTCTGATTATGCCTTTGGACTGTACATTCCAATTGAGCAATGAAGTATGTGTTGAATAATGAGACACCACTCACTCTTTTTTAAAGGCTTGCAGTTGTCACACAGCAGAGTATCTGCTATTGATGCACACAAATGAGCATTGGGATCAAAGTGATGGAAAGTAAGGCATCGACATCCTTTCATTCTCATAAATTCTCTTATGGGAAGAACACTAAAATGCTCGTTTCACTCAGGCTCGTGATATAAGGGAAGCTTACTGTAAATAAGGACTGAGAAGGAAGGCAGGCCATCTCAGACAAGGCACACAGTTTCTTAGAGGAAATGAAGCATGTTACTGACTTCTACGTGGATGACATGGCAGACTTCTTGGAAGTCGATGTCCACAACATTGTAATCATCCATCTTTGGGTTGGTATATCACTATTGCACCAAGCTTGGAACTTCTTCTTTTTCTCTGTTGTATTCATATGCTCATCCAGTTGTTGATCCAGTGAGCTCATGTAATAGGAGATATTGAGAAGTTCTTTGGTTCTAACTCAACAACAAAATGTCTGGCGACCAAAATTCTTAAAGCAGAGGATAGTCATAGGTCTATAGAGTAGAATGGCA